GGTATAAATTACCAAAATGGACATTGTAAATTTTGAAATCGGAAAGTAAAAACAATAAATCAGGATTATTTTGGACAATATTTCATGCACATTTTTTTCTTTTCTAGGCAACCATGAATTAACACCCATGATGTGGGTATCAAGAACAATGCAATGGCCGCAACTTTTCACATGATGTACGTTGCCTGAGTATTCAATATTAATGGCATATTTTTTTTTTTAATCTTCTACCAAATATTGTAATCTTCAAATCTCTGTTTAATTTGCCTATTAATTTTTTTGTGAAGATCGGTACCAAACGCCTCTTTAAGGGCTCAAATTTTTTAATAATATGAATTATTAGATTTAAGTGGATCAATAATTAAGATTGAGTGTAAAATTTCTAACTCTTACACTAATATAAAGATATCTTGCCTGTATTATCAATATAAGATTTGAAAACTTCATAAAATGAAAATCATGTAATTATATAAAATTAGTAAAGCTGTAATTATATAAAATTAGTAAATGCGCTTCGCTATGGACATGTCCTTTGGCCAATATACGGTCTAATAGGATAATGGCGTGGAAGATTCTTAACTGTTGGATTAAGAACGAGGGTGACGGTTGGATGACGCACCACGCAGAGAATGGACCCCACGTTTAGATTTTGAAAGCGACACATGGGAAGAAGTTGGAAGTGAGTTGGAATACAAGGTGATTGCTTATTGGTGAGTCAATGGACAGATGCGTCAGACATGACGCATAAACGATATATTTTAGACTATTATTTTGAACGATTTCATAACAATTTAAATTTTATAATATTTTATTTTAGAATTTAATAATTTATAAGAAAATTGTTTATTATTTTAAATGACATAACTTATATTCTTTCACTCTCACAAAGAAGAGGTGAGACCCACACTTTTATTTTTTTTCAACTTTTTTTCTTCTTTTATCTATCTCTTTATTTCTCTTAAAATAACACAACTTTATCTCCTTTGAAATGATATTCAATTTTCTCATAATTTATATAATTATACAGCATCACGGATTTAATTTTTAATCGGAGTGTGTAATATTGAAGAAGTACGCTGAGTATCTCTCTCTTATTTCTCTGATGATTGCCCTTTACGTTCTCTATTTCAAGATTTTGGCCTAAGATCCACCCCAGCCGATAATTGGTCTAATTCTTATGGATTTAAGTTTAATTAGTTCTTTAGTTTACGTTTGAGAATTGGTTAAAATTACATGGTCAATAGTAACCAGTTCAATTAAGTGACTATTTGGTACGGTGATTGTTTTAGAAATCATAGAAATAGAGTGGAACAAATTTTTTCCAACGTTTAGTACAAAGAAATTGAAAATATTTTTGGGAAACTTTTTTCTTTATAATTTCAGTTTTAACTACTGAATTTTAAACGAAAATATCACATGATACATGATTTTTTTATTTTTCCATAGCATAAGTATAATTAATCTAATATTGTCGGACAAATTTTAGACCTACAAAACACATTTTCATAATTTATCGAGAAAAAAATTTTCCTACTATATTATAATTTTTTTTTTCTTGAAAAAAAAACATTTTCTCTGCCAAACACACCCTACGTCAATTTGATTCAAATGACCAATAATTGAGAGGACTCAATACTAAATAGTTTACTTACTAAAAAAAAATTAACATTGACTTATTTATTTGTATTTGTTCCGCTCTATTTTTATTTTTAATAACACGTCAACTAACGTACTTCTAATTTTACTCCAAACCATAACCTAGCATTTGTCTCGGATAACCCGACCCAATATCTCATACCTGACTGATTTTGATTTATCATCCCGGGCCCCTAATTCATTGTCATGTGCATGGTTCTGGAAATTATATACGTTGGTAAGTCACACCTGTCATCACGTCATACATTGTATTATAAGAATTGTTTGTGTTAAATTCAGATTAGTTTTTTTTTTTTGATAAACAATTCAGATTAGTTTTAAAAACTAAAAAATTTCATACAATAAAAATAGAATAAAAGTTTTACAGATATTCAAGTGAGTGGAAGTATGCATCCCTCAAAACCAAACCTGCATATGGACAAATCAGATTTTTATCAAGTATAAGCTCTCATTATTCAAGGGAAAAGTGTTTGTCATTTTAAATGATATAAATTTACGTTATTTTAAGAGAGAGATAGACACATAATTTTATTTTTTTATTTAAAATTTAAATTAGAAAAATCACCCACTTTCTCTCTTCCATGATTTTTATTCCATGTGTTTATCTCTCTCCTAAAATAACATAACTTATGTAATTTAAAATGACAAACATCAAACCCTTAAAATAAACCCAGATGACATTACCGCCTTTAAAATAAGACAAATCTGATGAACTCAAAATGATGTTGTCTTGGAACAAAAATTAAGATATTTTTGTAATTCTAATATATTGCAGAGTTATATTAGTCTTTATCATTATAATTTTTTAATCTTATAACCCAAAACGACGTCGTTTTGAGTTTACTGTAAATAATTTTATCTCCGGTGACTGTAGAAATATTTTTCCCTTAAAATAAAACAATAATGTTAATCTATTGATATTATGCGCATAAAAATGAAAGCAATTATCTTGATTTAATTCGTGAGTGAAGATCAATAATGGTTCTCTAATCGTCTAATTTTATTTTATTTTTTAATTATTACGGGAATGTTAGAAGTAAGGTAAGCCTACGTCGGGTAATTTCTCACGTACTTTTAATTACGGGAATGTTAAAGCATTACATTCAGTTTGTTGAAAACACAATGCTTACATATGCACTATGCAACGTTACATACACGGTCTTTGGTTGAAAATTAAAAGTTTTGGATCATCGGTGTCAGGGATGTAATCTTAAAAATAAAGTGCAACTAATAATTGATAAAAAAAATTAAAAGAAAAAAATTACGCCTATCCATAATGTGTTGTATATCTGTTTAAATTCTACAAAATTGAAAGTTAAATTTTTATATCAACATATACATTAATTTTGTATTTTATTTTCTAAAATATATATTCTTGCTCTAAATTATCCACGTCTAATTTAAAATGTTGTATAATAAAATTTAAATCAATTAGGAACCATTAATTATAGTATAAGTTTCACAATACCTAATAATTTTTCAGTATTGACGTCAGTGTTTGTTTTTTTCATGTAAAAGCTCTTGAGAATTATACTATAAAGTAATGAAATATATATACTTCTAGTTTAATTAATTCACAAATTAATATTAGACTATGACCCAAAAAATGCCATTTTCATTGTTGGGTTCAAGTTTTTTTTTTTTTTAAAAAAGTGGATAGAAAGAAAGCTTCAGTCTCTATGAGAAACAACAAGATATCATGCAATAAAATCTTGAATTATCATGTCTACAACCCCCCACCCCCCTAATCTCATCATATATAGTATAATGTATATGTATATAATTAAGTTAGAATTTATATTTTTAATTAATATTTTTGTTTTATTAAATTTGTATACTTAAATTATAGTATGAAAACGATATTTTTGTTTTATGCATTCGTGAAGAAAGAGAGGACATATTTCATTTAACTAAAATGCGAATATTAAGTCAATGTCCTGAGTAACCACTAGATATAAAGTATTAAAGTTGTTAGCGGCACAAGTATGAATCCTAGTACATTTTTTTTTTTTTTAATTAAATGAGAGTTAGTTATTTTCTATGGTACATATACACTAAAGCAAATGTGCCAGGTGCCGTGAACATGTGCATATGTGACCGTACTTGTAATTTTTCTCACGAGTTAAAATACATTATTATTATTATATTCTTTTTTTTCAAATTTTATTCCGATGTGGTCAATCAATGGACAGAATAGTTGAAGAATTGAATCAATCGATGATGATTTTTTTAGCCACATGGATTATGGACCTTTCATTAGTTAGCATGTCACAATTATGGAGTAGAATTGTGATGTTTCATTTGTTAAAGGAGTTAGGTAATAAAAAAAATTGAAGATTATGGCCATTAACCATAAAATGACAGCATTGCCACCTCTTACGTCTTAACTTTCCCTTGTATCTCAATCTTTTTAAAATTAATTTTAATTTTTTATTTTTTTAGCACGATCATAGGTTAGAGCTAAAAAGCCTTCAAAAAGGATAAAGAGAAGAGAAAGATCCTTCGCACACATAAAATATTATGCATCAAAAAGCAAAAAGGAGTCAAAATATCAGAAACAGTCCTTAACAGGCGTGGCCGAAGATGGTAAGAGTAAGACTCCATTTTTAAGCGGCTACTCGTGGATTCCAAAGTACATATTCAATTTGGTTTAATTTGATTTTTATTTTAATATTAATTAATTAACGTTCTATAATCTCGCCAATTAATTAATTAATTAATTAATTAATCCGAATCTCAAAGGGCACGTAAGGCACATGAAGGGTTGGCTAGGCTGGACCCCCTAACACAAGACGCGTAGATGCACTCAGTGATTAACACGTGTACGGCTGTGGTGATGCTGGAATAAACAAATGGCCAGCTCAACAACAACCATCACAACTCACAGCGTATATACGGCGTAGGTATACGAAAACATCCATATACGACACGTGTACGGTGACGTGGACATCGCTTTGGCGCTCCTTCTTTCTTGTTCACCACCACCACCATCACCAGCACACTCCATCCTTTTGTCTAAGCAAAGAGCTCCTTCCCTCGTTTTTTTTTAGAGAGAGAAAATGCAGAGGTCGACACTCCCACCTTTTAATTGCTTCTCCAATGCTTAACCTTTTTTTGGTTTTTCCTTTGGGGATTCTTTTTTGTCTGTTTTTTTCCTTTGTTTTGTGACGATAAGAGTTTGGTATATGTCAGGTATGTGGAATTCTGCTACGTTGTTGGTTGAAAGATTTAATTTTGAATGCTTTTCAGATTTGGGGTATGAGGAAATTGATGCGAAGTGAGGGGAGGGTATGTGAGGAACGACTCAAGTGAGTGGATTTGAATTTGAATGTATCTAAGTTTGAAGTTTCATGATTAAGTTCTAGTGAAATCCGTGTAACAAGACTCCTCCTCATGGAAGAACAAATTATCTGCTTCGGTTTGGATTTTTGTTCTGTGGATACACCCAAAAAACTGAAGGATTACGTAATTTTTTTTCCGTTCCGTTTTATTTAATTTGTAGCTAACCAGACAAGAGGGTTAGAATTGAGGGTGCTCTGGATCTCATTTTGCATCTGTTAAAAGTTTTACGTTTGTGTGTTTTCTATGTTATGTGTTGTTTTTGCTTCGGTAAGCGTCTTTCAATTCATTTTGGATGTTTATTTGGCCCTCATGTTATTGTGTAAATTTAGTTTTCCTGTAGCAAGTAGCTGAAGATGGAACAGATCGGGGCTAAAATCTGTAAATCATAATCTATGGAGATTTGGATAGCAAATTCAGGAGTTTCATTAGTCTTCTCAGTTCTCACCATATTTTTCCTTGAACCATGTGAAAGAGAAAAAATGTTTGGTTTGGAAGGGCATTTTTGTCATTTAGCTCCGGAATGTCTTGTTGGGATAGATTATAGAATGCTCTGTTGTCTTTGTCTTCTTTTTTCTGTCCGGCTTGTGGAGTGGTAAAAAGACAGGATTGACCCTATAACAATCTGTTTTTGATTGAATCTTACGTCTATAATTTCATTTTGTTTTTGTCCATTATTAATACTGGAGTGTTTTAAACCTTTGCTGAAAGGGTATTTGTGAAATCCCATTTTCTTTAAAACTAGGAACCAGAAAAGGTGAACTGGTGTTGACTCCTTTTCGGATGGCCCAGTATCTTTAGGCCCCCCTTGTACTTCTGAAACATTTGCTCTTTCTCTAATCAATTATGAAATCATATTAGCTCTTGAGTGTTACTCTCACATGTGAATGTGAAACTTGGTTCATTTTGTCAACTCCATTGTGAATTACTGAGTTATATCAGTATTGTCGTCTTAGGTGGGTGCTAGATTACTGAACCAGATTTCCCGCTGCTGTAAACTTAGTTGCTATCATTTGATGTTATGATGTATTTCATTCCTGCACCTATGTTTAACGTTTTATTTTTTAAATTTTAATTTATCAAGTAGTAGTTTGAAATTTCTGAAATTACCCTTCCCCTTTGCTAGTGTGTTGCCTGTATAAGCTGTTTACAACAATGAGAAGTTTATGATTTTTTTTATTTTTTTACCTACAGTAAAGATCATGTTATGCCGGATACCAAGAATATGTAGTATCACCTGTAGGTTTTGAATGGCATAACTCCTGGTTTATGAATTTTGTCTTGTCTGCCTTGTAACATTTTATTGCTGTTAAAGCTGACACAGCTCCTGTTGATGCAGTTGAGTCATTTTCCGAAAAATAGCAAGGATCCTTCGACAATATTTGACTTGGTGTTTTTCATTTGGTGCTTACTATGGGCAACAGTGAGGAAGAGAAATATACTAAGACTGAAAAGCCTTCTTCACCTGTGACAATGGTACGCTCATTATAGTGTATCTGGGTGTGGATGCATATAAAGCTGGAATTTAATACTTTTGTGCTTACCTTATGAACAGGATCAGGCCAATCAGACTAACCAGACCAATATTCACGTCTATCCTGATTGGGCAGCCATGCAGGTTACTTACCTTTTTCCTTTAATTCCTATGTTTCTTAATGACTGAAGTATTCATTCTAGTTTCTTGTTCGCTAACTTCAATGTGTATGGATAACTGCTCTCAAATTGTTTCAGTTGTACTATTCTCACTTAGTCAATCATAGCCATTGATTAGGTGAAATCCTACTATAGATAACACCAACTTTATTGGAATCCCTACTAGTTTCTTTTCTCTTTTGAAGATATTTTAGTAATCATCTCACTATTGACAAATCAGAGAATCATTATGTGTCATCTTCCTTATTTCTTCCATGCATCTAAGGCAGCTCTCAGCATCTACGTCAGCTACCTTTTACATTTAAAATATGCCATCCATGTATTTCCATTTTACTTTTTACTTGAAGCAATGAAATTATGGAAGCTGTTGTATTCCCTCTTGTGAATTATTGACCATTCTCTCTATATATAAGTATTAGAGTGCCATTCGTGTGCTATGTAGTAAAATATAAGAGTGCCATTCCTATGATGCATTATATTGCACATTCTGGTTGTTGTGAGTTTCTATCTATATTTACCCCTAATTAACATCAAACTGAAATTATGCATTGGGTTGCCACTGGTTTTGGTAATCAGTTGGGGTAATATCTAAGATGAGATTTGCTTTGGACTTTAGCCCTGGATTGTTTTCTCTTTTGAAAATTATCTATTTTGTGGTATGAATTTTAATCCACTTGGAATTTGGTTCACCTAGAAGTTTTTAAGCATAAATTCCCACTCGAAACTGCTTGTGGTGATTTAAAGTCTCTGCTATATCTTCAGGCATATTATGGGCCAAGAGTTGCCATGCCACCATACTACAACTCAGCTGTGGCTTCTGGTCATGCTCCTCATCCGTACATGTGGGGACCACCGCAGGTAATAACCCAATGCATCATTTATTATGTTTATCATTACCATTCTTTGTTTTATTGGATGTCTTGGTGTATATCCTAGATGACAGGGATGAGTAACTTGCCAAATTTTTATTTCTTCCAGCCTATGATGCCTCCTTATGGACCTCCTTATGCTGCAATTTATTCACATGGTGGGGTTTATGCTCACCCTGCCGCTGTTCCAGTTGTAAGCCTATGCTCTTGCAATTTGTTTGTGTTTTTTTTTTAATATATTTTTATGCTATTTGTACTCATGTTCGTTCTCTGGATCATGAATTGGTTTATTTATAGTGTACTAAAATTGATCAATAAGGATCACAGAGGTTAAAAACATACTGAGGTGTGATTTTGTTGTTTCCGTTGGCCCTATGTAATTTTAGAGTAATTTATACCTGGGTGCATCTCTGCTGTCATTAACCTCTTCATGCTCTGATATCCTTAATGTAACAGACTCACAATTAATTTATAGCATATAAAATGGGCAATAACAGAGGCTTTTAATCTTTTATTATGTATGCTTGATTGGTTGGAATTTCCCCCCATTATCTTATGGATTATATTTGTAAAATATAGGGGCCACATCCACATAATCAAGGAGTTTCATCTTCACCTGCTGTATGTTTTAATTTCCTCTGAGATCAGTTCCTATTTGAGTCCTTGAATGTTATCAATTTATGAATGATTTGAACTGGTGTAACATTGCAGGCTGGGGGGACTCCTTTAAGCATAGAGACACCACCCAAAACATCTGGAAATACTGATCAGGGTTTAATGAAGAAATTGAAAGGGTTTGATGGACTTGCAATGACAATAGGCAATGGCCATGCTGAGAGTGCAGAGCATGGGGCTGAAAACAGGCTGTCACAGAGGTTTGTTTTTATATGAATATTGCCAAGAACATAATTTCTTTATATTTCCCTTCCTTATGTTGCGGGTGGTGGAGGGGGGAAAATCTGATACTCTTCAGTGGAATTGAACACGACTTTTTCTTCCTCTGTCTGTATAGAAGACTTGTTCATGAGTTGGTTATTGTAATAGGTTCTTGTGGATAACTGAGTAATTTTATGATGATATGAACAGTGTGGATACTGAGGGTTCCAGTGATGGAAGTGATGGCAACACTGCAGGGGTGAGAACTTGCTTGCAATTAGCATTTTTTTCCTGCACTTTGTTGACCATATGCAATTGTTCCCCTATAGTCTATTTTTCTTTAAAATGGTTGGAGAAAATTGAAGCATTAAATTATGATATTTGCCCATCTTATGCTCAGGCTAATCAAACCAGAAGGAAAAGAAGCAGTGAGGGAACACCAACCACTGGTATGACTCTGTTCTTCACCAAGTGTCACATCTTGATGAACAATAGAGTTGTCCTGGGATCACAATTATACTTATGTTATCATCACTGCACCCATGGTGTCAACCAGTTTATCGAGTAGGGTCTTGATAAGTTGAATGCTATCCTATTATTTTACACAGTAAGATGAAATTGCCCGAGTTTTTTAACTTCATGCAATTAGTTTGACAAATGCAGTAGACTCTAAGGTGGGCTTTTACCTTGATTCAAGAGTTGATACATTATAGGTATCGGTGTCCTTGCTTGCAATTACTAATAAAATCTTTTACACCCAAAATGTGTTATTTATCTGCCAGCACCTGAAGCTAAGAGTTAGGGTATCAACATAATCTGTGTTGATGGTTATGCTTTTCCACACTTTTTAAGCAGATGGAGAAGGGAAAACTGAGATACAAGGTAGTCCAGTTTCCAAAGAAACTGCAGATTCTAATAAGGTGATGTCAGTTGCCCCTGCCAGTGTTACAGCAAAATTAATTGAACCTGTAGTGTCTTCGGGTATGACCACCTCACTGGAGCTGAGAAATCCTTCCAGTGTTCATTCTAAACCAAATCCCACAGGTGCCCCACAACCTTGTCCAGTAGTGCCTGCAGAAAATTGGTTACAGGTATGGTCGGCATATAAATTCATCCCAGTGGTTCAGATCATATATATAGTACATTAGAGATACTTGTGAAACACGTGTAATTTTCTGACACTAAAGTAATTCCTGTTGGTATGTTTGGATTACTTAGAATGAGCGCGAGCTGAAACGTGAGAGGAGGAAACAGTCAAATCGAGAATCTGCAAGAAGGTCCAGATTAAGGAAGCAGGTATAAATGTTATTGTAAACCTTTTATTGCTTCTTTAGTTGTCTGTCACAAATCATAAATTGATCTGTTTCTTTTCTCATCACACGCTTGTACATTTGTTGCACGTGCATGCCTGTGCATGCAGGCCCCAATAAATACCAAAAAGGTTATACTCTATATAGGCTTGTGACTAATGCTCCTATTCCTCCTCTTCAGGCTGAGACTGAAGAACTGGCACGAAAAGTTGAATCCTTGAATACTGAGAATGTGTCACTGAAATCAGAAATAGGTCGACTGACTGAAAGTTCTGAAAAACTGAGGGTGGAAAATTCTACATTAAGGGTAATGCTCACGTAAAATCCCTCTGTTTGTATGCCTTTCATGGGGTGTTTCTGTGATGCTGAGTACTTCATTGTTTTTGATTCAGGAAAAACTTAAAAGTGCTCGACTGGGACAAACAGGAGAGAGAATTTTGAACAGCATTGACAGCCTGAGGGCTACACCTGTAAGTACAGAAAATTTACTATCAAGAGTTAATAATTCGGGTTCTAATGATAGAACTGGGGAGGATGAGAATGGATATTCTGACAACAAACCAAACTCTGGTGCAAAGCTGCGTCAACTACTGGATACAAGTCCCAGAGCTGATGCTGTGGCAGCTGGTTGATACAGAAAACCAGTAATTGTATTGGCTGATCATGTAATTTTGGCATATTACAAGCCCAAAATTACTACTAACAGTTTTCAGAGGGATGGATCAGCTGAATTTTAGTATCTAAATCCATCAAAACCATAACTAATTCATTACTTATCAGTTACCTAGGACAAAAACTCTGTATTCTATTAGATTTGACAAAAATGGATGACTACTATAGTTTGTAAAATGAAGAGAATTAGAGATTTTTGTTTAGAGAGTTGTTGAACCGTTACATAGTTGGGTGTGTATTAACCATTGGTGTGGACCTTCTTATGGTGTCTCATAAAGTTATTCTGACTTCTCTTTGTTTGCTTTGTGTTCTTTTGTTAGTAATTTTTCCTGTTGCGGCTTATGATTTGCAAGTTTTTACCTTTTAAGATGGGAATGTCTCTGCATGCATGACGGTGGGCTGATTTTATAACAATGATTTAAAATTTTATTAAATATATCCACTAGGTATCATATGTAGGAGAAAAAATGGGCTCTTTATATAATGTTGTTTCAAAAGATGGCCATCTATTAATTATTGCTACTAAATGATTGGGCCATGACACAACATTTTAGATTTTCAATATTTTCTAATTTGATGGCCTTTCTGAGTGTTAAGTTTTTCTAACGGAAGCTCAAGATCGATACAATGACATTACAAATGCTTCTCTTGATAAAAAAGAAGATGGATTCGTTTACAAATTTTTTACAAATTACACTATATTTTTCTGGGAGAAGAAAATTTATTGGTTGAGAAGAAAAGAGACGAGGAAAGTAATCACGTGTTGCTAGCTTGATTTCTTAAGTTCCCTGAAATATATAAAATTAGAAAAGAAACGAAACTCCATTGAACTCATGACATTTTCAGAGATATATGTCATGTGAATGACTTCTTAGGATTACTGATGTCAATTGTACAAAGCATGACAAATGTTTTCAAGAATTTCAATGCGAGCAACTTCATTCCAACATAACCTAGCTATAATATCACGCAAATTAAATCTCCAAACGGAAATAACATAAATACAATACAATGCCCGAAGTTCAAGTTAATCACGTTTTAAAAGAATTTAGTTTTAGATTAATATATTACGTGAATAACAATGCCTTCCATATTGTACAGTAGCAGAGAAGGAAGCAAACAAAACAGGTGTCTGAAGAAACTGGGGGACACTTTTCCTAGTAGCCTGTAACACTTGACATTATTATAAATTTGTAATCCCATAAACTGCAATGAAACAGCCACCGTGCATTTATGCCAATAAGAAAATTTGAAGTCTGACATGAAAACATGATCATGCTCTTAAGTCTTATCTAGTAAATATTGCGAGTCTTTTACCTACTTTAATTCGGCTTACGTTATAAGATTAAAACTTGAATTTCAATCCTGAAAGTCATAAGCAGAACTTGAAAGCGATCTTTTTTAATGACATGGAGACGAATTTCTATAGATGATAAAATCTTCAAATTATTACAAAAAAAAAAAAAAAAATCTTCAAATTAGGCAAAACATTGAAATAAATTGAATTTAGGTAAACATGGTCAATATTTACAATATTACAATTGTTTGGTATCATACCTTGAGGAAACCATTTGAAGTAGTCATACAAAACAAGTGCAGCAATGAGTGTTTTCTAAGTCCTATTGGTAACGCCACCAATGTGTGTGAAAAGAGTGCCTGCTTGGTTATACCTCCAAGTCTGTCTTCTGCCTCAATGTCAGTGTGGATGCTGCTTGGCCCTGGTTGTTAGAACTCTTTCCCTTTCCCTTTGCATCACTGTTACGTCAGTGGTTTAGTTAGGTAAGAACTGACAAGACGCAAATCAGAATGAGAGTTACTTTTGTGTGGAATAAGTGGTCGTTTTGGTAACGGAAGTATGTGAAGCAAGTGCTAGAGAGAAAACACTAGGCTTGGTGTTTATGAGTGTTTACATGTTGTGAGGTATGTCAAAAGAAATTTGCCTATTCTTCCTTCATGTATGGGCACAGAAAGGAATCCTAAAGTGAGAATTTGGGGATCAACCAATCTACGAAATCCTAAAGCATGATGTAACCTCTATATTACATCTCTCATGTGGTTATTACAAGTGTTAACCAACGAGGCTAGGCTGGCATTTTCTATCTTTTTAGGCCATATACGCAGTTTGTGTAGTGATTGTTGGGAAAAATTACATACTGGCCGAACACTTTTGAATCAAAGTCAGCTTCGTGAACATTTGAATAATATGGATATCTCTTTAGGCTAGGCTACTACAATGGGCAGCCTGCAGCATAAGTTTCTTACTTTGTGCATCAAAGTCACTTTACTAATTGGATTTCTGCAACCTAAGATTGAAAAAGAGAGAGTTAACCTCGTATAGTGAACATTAAGTTTTGGCTAGGCAAGATACTTCAAAATACATACCGTTGACTACAGTCCACACTGTATAGTCCACAACAATCAAATTGGGAATTTTTTTCAATGATAAATTGTTTAACTGTCGGAAGGACCATGCACAAGAAGGAAAAATAAATAAACAAACAACAGACCACCCAAAATCTAGACAAACGAAAACCCATTATTCTTTAACGGGTATAGTTAATCACCATTATCGGGAGTGAAGTGTTCTGGGGCAAGGGCATATACTTTTCAAGAAAGTTTGAACCCTTGTGGTTGTAGCTGCCATTGACACTATCCGGAAACGAGGACACTATCGAAAAGAACACAAAGGTGATTGTGCTATCTCTGGACCACGTTTATTAGGGTTTTCAGCAAGAACGTTGCAATCATCGACTGAGACTCAACTCAATTTGTGGATTAGGGTTTATGATTTTGGCGCCATTGACGAGTAACAAAATGATGAACGAAGATTAAGCACGGGCCTCTAGGCCCGGTCTCGGTCCAACCCTTGAAACCTTCTGGTGAACTATGTAATTGGACCAGCCCATATCGTGTCCATTTTAGCCCAGGCCCATCCATGTTCTCGATACTGTAGGTGTAGGGCATCCACGTGAATCTGATTTCCTTTTCTCATAATTCTTCTTTCATATAAAGATCTCACCTTGGACTTATCTTGATATTTTTTTTTTTTCCTGTGCTCTCTTTCTTAAATATGGTTTATTATATTACAATTACAACTTTATATTTTCATTAACCAAGGAAAAGTTTGCAAGGAAATTAAAATACCATGAGAATTAATATTACTCTCCGTTGACATATTTAAAGTTTGGAAAAAGTGTTTGTCAATGACATAAAGTTATGTCATTTTAAGAGAGAGACAGACACATAAATTTTTTTTATTTAAATTTTAAATTAAAAAAAACCATCCACTTTCTCTCTTTCATGATTTCTATTTTTCTGTATCTCTCTCCTAAAATGACATAACTTTTGTCATTTAAAATGACAAACATCAAACCCTTAGAATTTACCTACAAAATTAAAGATGATTAATAACGGGAATGCTGTTATCTAAACCGCATTAAAACTTCGGATTCAATCCATAAATGCACGAACTTAAGTGTTTAATAACTAATTAATCTTAGATCTAGACCATGTGCGTTATATAACCTTATATAATACTCAATCATTAGGTGCCTGTATCGTACAATTAACTAATAAACTCATTCAATTGGAAATTGTGAAGGTATGTATGCATGCATTTAGATCTATTTCCAACAAGCATAGTATGTACATTTTGATACAAAAGATCATAAGATTACACTTGCAAGAAATCACTTTTTTTTTTTATTCACATTTTTTTCCTATCACCATCACATTCTTCCAAATATAAGGAAAATGCATCATGTTTTCAAAGTGGATTGAAAATTCTGTGGTAACCCTGATCGGTTAGGATAGGGTGGCTCACTCAAAATACATGATAGGGTAGGGTTGTAAATTGGTTGGGTTGGGCTGGACTTTAGCTTAAATAGATAAAGTTAGTATAAAATAATGTAGGCCTAGTCTGATCTGTTAGTCTTATGTAGATCCAAATTATAAGTGTGATTTCATCCATATTTAAAAAATAAAAATCTCGATCTAGGCCTGTCAGTCTATTTAAGTTTATTAGGCCTTCAATAATTAAAAAAATATTATTTTATTATTAAAATAATAATTTTATGTAAAATAAATAATATGATATAGGTCGGCCTGTAGATTTATAGGTCTGAAACGTAAAAGAAAATCTATGATCTGTTTTCTATATGTAATAGGTTAAATTTGACCTAATATAAACAGGGTTGAAAGTCTCTATTAGTCCGATCGATTTACGCAGTTAATGACAGAACTTACTCAATAGCGGACATTTTTGCTTGCAATTCGCTTCCGAACCCCGCCCTTAAGTGTTATACATAAAAAAAATTTCCTGGGTCCGCCACTGAACTTACTTGCAGAATTTTCCATGCCATGTTCGTTTGGAGCTAAAAAACTAGTACCACGATCCTTCCCAGTATCATCTTTGGGAGGGGTTTAAAACTTTAATTCTGAATCCGCCCCGAATCGGACTAATCGCGAGCGATGAACCGATTGAAATATTAAAAAAAAAAAAAAAAAAAAGTACCACTAAAACTCCCTTATGCCTTTGTCTTGGCGCATGGTCCACAGCTATGCTGCTACTTTGGCAGACATGAAAACAACCATTACCGACCGAATCAAAGATAAATATTTAATAAAAGTAACTACTAATATAAAATTTAGAGTAAATATCTTTTTTGGTTATCAGCAAATTTTACGAGGCATATTTTAGTTCCTAGCAAATAAAAGGCTCGTCGTGGTCCCTAAAAAAATTCAAAATAGACCCATTGTAGTCTATTTAAGGATTAATATGGGTCTTTTTTGAATTTGTGAGGGACCACGATTTCAACTAAATGAGTCCGTTTTGAATTTCTTAAGAACCACTATGGGCCTTTTTATTTGCTAGGAACTAAAGAGGACATTATGAAATTTGCTGAGGACCAAAAAGAGTATTTACTCTAAAATTTATATAATCTTAAAACAATACTCATAAAAATATCCTTATCAAATGTTTTTTTTTTTTTTTTACCAAGGATGAAATAATGTAAAACGGATTAAAAATTAAAACATAAAGTATTCGTGACGACACACACAACTTTGAATATTCAGAATAATAATCAATAAAACGGTTAATTTTCTGCTTTATGACCGAGTAAATCTGCGGTATCCATGGTTATATGCTCCTTAACCATAAATAATAATGCACCGGGTGTTCAGTAAGAAATTTCCAATCAGTGATAATAAAAAATAATCTGTCACAGTATATTTTTCTTTTGTCGTAACTTAATCTCATTGTCTACACGGCCGTAAATGTGTTAGGTCAGTCTAGAAGGATTTATGATTTAATCTATAGGGGTTATGTCGTAGTTTATATTAGTTCAGACTTGACTTATTACAAATAGTCAAATTGAATAGATCTAGACTTTAAAAAAACCTATTTAAAAAATATACCACATACTTTTTTTATATGTTGGACTTATAAACTTATAGATGACCTATATCATATTATTTATTTTAAATAAAATAAATAAAATTATTATTTTAATAATTTTGAATAGTAAAATAATATTATTTTAGTTATTTTTTAATTATTGAATATTTAATAGGTTTAAACAGACTAATAGATCAAGGTCAAAAAATTTATTTTTTAAAAATAGTCAGACATGTAATCTAAGGCAACACAGGCTAATAGATGAGGCCATGCATAAAGTTTTGTACACATGCCTGATCTATTTAAACTAAAATCTATTCTAATTTATTTACACCCTTAATTATCTGTCTCGATCTACAATAAAGATGGCAAATGTTGCACATTAGGGAAAAATATTTTTCCAATAAATGAAAATAAGTTATTTTCAATCAACTTAAAATGATATAAATTTTAGATTAAAAAAATATAATTTCATAATTTTAATTTATTTCAGTATCATATTTATTTTTATCATAATAATTTTATAATTATCGTTATTTTGGACTTTTTGAAAATAACTTTATATCCAATTATCCGATAAATACTTTTTCCGAGTTTATATTAAAAAAAGAAGAAGACAAATCTCAAGATAAGCCCGGGATTACATTGACAAATCCATTTTCCACAACTCATTGGAGAGAAAAAAAAGCCAATATACACGTATGTACATAAAATAGTGTGCTGAAGTGATGTGATAGCTGTGTTAAGGATAATAGTTTTGCTTTCATTTTCATTTGCATCTCTGAGATTCTTTCTCTGCCGGGTGTGTGACCGTTGATTCTCTTTCCACCACAGTCCAAAGAAAAAGGTAGCTTTCACCCTTATACTCTCAAACGGTGTATGTTTTACTTATTTAAATTTTTCTTGTTTTCAAAATTCCAATTTGTCCATAAAAAATGTTCAATTTTTTTGACGGTTTGTACATGTGTGCATATACTTCTCGTATCTCCACGTCCTAGATATCTGCAGCAGCCAACAGACATACAATTTACAAAATCGGTTTCTCCTTCTTATCTTCATTTTGTGTTAATTTTTTTTATCCCATCTTCCCACGATATTGTCACCTACCACTTGGTGTGGTTTTTTCAAATCTTGGGTTGGTTGAAAGTTTTAAACTTTTTTTGATTTCTTTGCAAGTTTGGTTTTGAATGAATGCTTCTGAGAGAAGGGTACCTTTCAACTTTACCTGCTCTTGTACTTGTTCCTCATACATCTCTGCATTTTTTTTTTCCTAATCTGGTTTGTTGCAGTTTTTGAACAGGTATCGCTTCTTGTCATTGGATGTGTGAATTTATGAACCTATTCCACAGAGGTCATGCATTATTCTGCCTCCTCCTGGTTCATTTTGCATCCAAGACCTGGTGTCAGTTTCCGGGTTCTGTTAGAATTCCTGGTGACTGTTAATGTAAGTAAACTTACAAGTGCTATAGGAGTTGCTATGTAGCAGTCTCTTGAGTTCAATGGGATTTCATTTTAGTATGAGTTTTATTCCTTATGTTGCCTTGCCTTGCCTTTGCTTGAAGAAATTATTATTAGTTTTTGGTTGCATTCTTGAAGAAAATTTCATTACAGTTGTTATATATCTCGGTTTTGTTTTATTTTTAAATTTTTTGGATTCTTTCCGAGTTTGTGCAGTATTTAATTGTCTTTTTCTGCTCTAAATCTGACAAGTTTCAAGGGACATATTTAGATGTGTGCCAGGTATATTGATATGCGGTTGCCAAATGTTTTAAGTGTAATGTTTCCGATTTTGGTTGTCAGGGCTTTAATGGAATTTTCTCGTACATTCCTAATTCTTATTTTGTGTCTTTTAAAATAGGTTTAGGGTTCCCCAGATCTCAATCATACCAGTGAGGAGAGACTAGGTGAGTTAAATTTGTTGTTTGGATTTTGCTTTTAATCGACAAGGCTAATAATTCACTTGTTTGTCAATTGTCACAGTATAGGTGTGGACTGGAGTCCCCTTCAGTACCGAATTCTAGAAGATTATTGGGGTTTGCTCATTAGGGTCTGAAAAAATTTGGATGGGGCATTCTGCAGCTGTGTGGGACTATAGAGCAGCAACTGAAATCACAAAGGACTGGAATGGAATTGATCAAATGGTCCTTCGGACTCCACAAGGCGCTTCGGCACGGGTGAGAACTAGTTGATTGCGGTATTTGCATTGGTTTTAACATCGGATGAAGTCGCTGTTTTTCATTTATATCATCCCATGTCAATCCATGATAAGGAAAACTTGGTTCATAATGATACTCCTAGTTTAATTTGACATTTAAGTACTAGTGGTTTTGGATTTAATGTCTTTTCTTGAAATTAGGTAAGCTTATATGGGGCACAGGTCACTTCATGGCGGAATAAGCTGGGGGAAGAACTTCTATTCACAAGTAGCAAGGTATGTCAAAAGTATTATATATTTTTTCAAATAATATGAATTTGTTAGCTATCAGTGTTGATCAGGAAATTTCATGTCAAAATTTCATAACCCTACTTTCAGAAATCAGTTCATTTTGGTCTAAACTGCATCATATTGCAGGTAGCGTGTGAAGAGCACTGGTTCGGATATGAATCAATTAATTTCATTTCCCTAGAAATGGAATGGGTTTAGGGGTTGATGAATCATAATCTTCTATGTTGTTCAATCTCTTATCATATTGGAAAAATAAATATAGCAATAGCTGGATATATCTGTGTGAATGGCATTGAACCACTGGAGTTGTATACGGGTTCATTGAAAACTCTAATGGGATATCAAATTTGCTAACTTATGATGTTGATCTAAGGCAATTGCCTTTTTCGTACCTTGGTTCACCGATGATGATTTTGTAGAAATATGGATTTTGAACCAAATTTACTTTGTAAAGAAGCAAGCGGTCATGGGTTACTCCTTACCCTCTTATTTCCAATTGATTTTAGGCAATTTTCAAGGCCCCAAAAGCAATGCGAGGAGGAATTCCTATATGTTTCCCACAGGTATATTTAATGACTATTTAACATGTTAATTCTCAATAAATTTAAAATACATAACTCACATTTGTTAAGCTAAATTTGTTTAATAGTTTGGAAACTGTGGATCGCTGGAGCTGCATGGATTTGCAAGAAATAGAATGTGGGCAATTGATGATAATCCTCCTCCTCTGCCTGCAAATGATTCCAGTGGGAAATCCTTTATTGACCTGCTGCTCAAATCATCTGAAGAAGATATGAAAGGCTGGCCACATAGGTATGAACTTGAATGCCATAAAACCATACTCATGAATTATGACTCGCTTAGTCTATTAGCCTGGAGGGTAAGTATCGCAGGGATATTTGCTTTGTGGTGTTGTATTATTCCCCCCCCCCTCCCCCCCTCTTTGGTAGTTTGAAGCCGATGTATACATTTGATATTACTTTTCCCTATGTGTTGGAAGTAAATTTCAAGCAGTAGTAAGCTAACAATTGCCTAATTGTATCAGTTTTGAGTTCCGTCTTCGGGTGTCTCTTACGACAGATGGAGACTTGACTTTGACATCACGAGTCAGGAATATCAATGGCAAGCCATTTAGTTTCTCATTCGCATATCACACATACTTGTTGGTTTCTGACATTAGGTATGGGTAATTCTTTCTTATACTTGGAGGATGCAACTTAGGATGATGTCCAACCCTCTTTTTTCTTGTATATTGCATATTGACTGCTGTAACTCTTAATTAGTTTATGTAGTCAGAGTTAGTTTAGCATTAACTGTTTCCTTCTCGAGGATTTGTTAGAGATAAATACTGGTTTATTGATCTGAAACAAGTATTTTCTGTGTATATACATCAAATGAATTGTTTACTGAAGGCTTTAAATTGTGGGATTTTAACATTTAATCAGGTCAGAGAGGACCGTGCTTCTTCTTTAGAAACTTCTAAGGACTAATACATGGTCTATTCATTTGAAATTAGCATGGATACTTAGACATTAGATGGATTGTTCTCCGAATACTGTTAAGTAGTGGAATTGAATTGTAAGATCTACTCAGGTCAGTTATAGTAAAACATGGAAGTCGTTGATACATCATAATTAAGTCTGAAGTTTTTACAGATCCTCTTGAGTTTGCAATGCTTTTTGTCTTTTGGGATGATTTTTTTAAATATTTTTATTAATGAGCTCTACATACATAAGCCATATTATACATATATCGGTAGACTTTACCCCTCTTTGATAGTTTTGGAATAAGGAATTTTTTAAGATTGGTAATTAGAACTCAACTCACATATTAACAATTTTGTATAGTGAGATAAGGATTGAAGGTCTGGAGACACTTGACTACCTGGACAACCTTTTCCAAAAGGAACGATTTACAGAACAAGGAGATGCGATAACATTTGAATCTGAGGTAAATCCTCTCTGGTTTTCCAACTATACATTTCTATAGTTGCATGGTGCAATGTAAGCTTTTGCCTTAGGTTGAGGCTGTAAAACTGCATTCCTTCCTAGCCTATGCAAATGTTTTTGTGTTAATCACGTGTTCAATTTACTAAAGTCTTTAGGTTTTGATATACTGAAGGCTAAATGAATAAAGGGGTGTTCAAAATTTATCCTTCCTTCATGGGCAGGTGGATCGAGTTTATCTTAGCTCTCCAAATATAATTGCAGTTCTTGATCATGAGAGGAAACGGACATTTGTCATAAGGAAGGAGGGTCTCCCTGATGTTGGTAAGCTATTGAGTTTGTAAAACCTAAGTGGGGGACACTTGTGGCTCTATATGACTATCTAGTACCTGTAATGATACCCAACAACACTAATTTTGTAATTTCCATAATGTTTTTGACACATTTCTCTTTGACACATTGTGCAGGGGTGTGGAATCCATGGGAGAAGAAATCAAAGTCGATGGTGGACTTTGGTGATGAGGAGTATAAGCAGATGCTTTGTGTTGATGGGGCAGTAATAGAGAAACCTGTTAACTTGAAGCCTGGAGAGGAATGGACAGGGCGCATTCAGCTCTCGGTTGTGCCATCTAGTTTTTGTAGTGAGCGTTTGGGTCTCGACTAAATTGGTCTTTTGACGAATTGTACAAAATAATCTTGGTTTATGTTACATTAGCAATTTAGCATTTTTATTTTTACTTTTACTTTTTTGGTGATTGGCAGAAATACTGCTTTTTAGGTTTTCTGTTATCAACTTTGGCTAGAATTAGTGCTTTTAGAAAGAAAAAGAAGCCTATGTTTTTGTGAGAATTGGCTATCAACTTTGGAGGTAATATTAGCTGTACTGGCATGGCATCTACAAATTCCAAAACAAAGGAAGGGTACAAAACTTCACTTTCATCTGTCATGAGCAAGTGGTCAATGTTAATGGATGCATTAATTAATTAGTTAGGTTATGCTGTGGATTCTCTTTCCTCATAAAGTGTTAGATTAGAACTTTAGTTGTGTAGGTGCCAAGTTGTTTCCCTGCTTGGTTTTTATAATGTTGTTTGTCGGTAGGGCTATTTTTATTATTTTCTGTAATAGGCAAGGGTAACTTAATTTAGACTTTCTTGTTGCTATATGCAAAGACTAGGGTTTAAAAAATTTCTCGTCCTATTATTAGAGCCAGGTTTCGATATTGGACTTGTGGTCTAGGACCCACCACGCTTTTACTGCGCTAATAAAGGCTTTGGTGTCGAGGGATGGGTTTCTGTAATTCGGTCTGTTCACTTTGGACGTCAAGAGGTTGAACTGGTGAGACTTGCTACGTAGTTTTTTTTTTTTTTTTTTCTTGTTTTTTTGAGGTGTCATGGCACTTTTATTTGTTTATCAGCACTCTTTTGTAATCATAACATTTTTTTTAATTATCCTTAAGTCGTTTCTCTTAAGAAGTTCTTTATTCATTTATGTTTTTTACGTCATAATATCATTATCTCCATCCATATTCCCTATTAGTTCGAACTTCTTTGTAACTTGGTTTTTTCTTTTTTATAAATATTTATTGAATGATAGTATCATTTTTCAGAAAGTCTAGGAAATCATCTTTATTCGTGAAAGTTTATTCACATGACGACCATTACTACATAATTTTAAAGCTTATATTTTTCATTACTATTAATTTTAACATTTCTTTATCACCAACATTAAGCTTAATTTTATTTATAGGGTTCTTCTACTTTTCGGAAAAAATTAAGAAACTTATTGTATATTTTTTAAATACTAACATTTTTCTTAGTAAAAAAGTAAGATTTTGCAACATAATGAAGTTTTCTCGCTTCCATTTTCATATGCTTTTTTTTATTATCAAGTACGCTATATCCAAAACAAATCAGGACTGTGTTTTTTGAGTTATCCTGATAAATTAAAATTATAAATTTTAAAATGTGTTGATACTTTATAATTTATTAGACAATAGATGAGGCAATTGCTTATGTTGTACGTAAAAACACAACGTCTATGTCCGCACACTCAGAAACAACGAAGTAATTTATTTATTTTTTCAGATTCAAAATTTCAATTATGAATTATCAACTTTCTTTTAGTGTTAGATTACAAGTTGCAATCTTCGTTTCTTGTAATTTCGAGGGGTTTTGGGGTAAACGACGGACATGTTAAAATAATCCTTAAATTTTTTACGTCAGTTGACAAGGTATGTTTTAAACTCGATTGTTCCCGAACATTTGCTTCTATTAGACGGGTCACTGAATCATATTCTACATCACAATAATACAATCATGTTAGTCAAAGGAGAAACGAGACGCCGTGTAAAGATTCACGACCTGAGAAGAAATAGAAAGAATTGGGGCTAAGTTTTAAGTTCAAACACTGCTAAAATGAAACAAAACACTGTTGTTGGTAAGGATTCGAAGGCAAAACAAAAACTGATGACAACGACTTTTAAGCACATTTACCTTCACACCTTCAAAGTCATTACTGTTTGCCAAAAATGTTTACAGTAGAACTCTGATCCAAAATGAAAAAATAAACGTTACTTCTGCTATAAAACTATACACCCCGTCGATACTCAAGTTGCTTTGTGTTCTCCAGCAAAATCTGCCAATCAATAATGAAATTGGGGTTTAAGCAATGAAATGATTATAAACCATGTTTTGACTCCTCCAAGTATAATCAAACAAACGAGGACAGGTTCTTACTTCTCGAATATAATTTGCTACTGCTTTGCAGCCTTCAATTGCCAGTTGCATAACATTTTCCAAAATGTCAATTGGTAGTTTAGAATCCATCTACAGCCAGTAACAAAAGAAATGAGTAGTGCAAATAAAATTTGATGTCTTACAGACCAAAAATCAAGTAAAATTTGAAGAAAATGAATACGAAGTTTTAGGAGCCTTTACTCATCCGAATGCCATCAAATTAAACAAGGATCTTTTCAATTCTAAACAAATAGAGCATGGCAGCTACAGATTTTTTATCAGCAATATAGTGCTATAAAGTTCCCACTATGCACAGGTATAGGGAGGGTCAGACCTATTCTGTGGGTCTATAGTGAACAGCCTTACCTTGCATGCTATGCACAGGGTCTAGGGAGGGCCAGACCTTTTCTGTGTCTATAGTAAACAGCCTTACCTTGCATTTGCAAGAGGCTGATTACATCATTTGAACTTGTAACCTCTAGGTCACAAGGCAACAACACCAACTACTCCGGCAGCTAGAGTGTGCTAGAGAAAACTTCAAAGAAAGAAATTAGCCAGCCTTTATACTAGTTCATGTATGAAGCAAATACAACTTCAAAAAATCAGTCAAAATTTGGAGAACTAAAAAAAAAGATGCAACTAAGAAAATAAAAGATGTTAAACTGGAGTGACCAAATCAAGATTTAATAAGTATATTAAGCAGGACTCAATAAGGGAAAATTATAAAGTTATACTAGACCAAGCATTAGCTGCTACTAAACAAAAGATTGTCTAAAATTCACCAAAGAGTAAGGGCTCTAGTCACTCTATCGCTATCATGAACTATGTTCACAAGCAAAATGGAAGTCTAGGAAGGAAAGAAAGTAAAACAAAAGGTTCAGAAACTTTTAAGTCTAATGATTAGAACAATTTTGGAAGGAGGGAGGGGGACTACAGATTCAAAACCAACAGGCTTTATGTGATATTGTTAATTTACCAATGACAGAGCAAAAGCAAGAGTTAAAAGAGAGATGGGTCTCAAGTCCTCAACAAAAAAGGCTAATACCTGGAGTAAAGGACATTAGAAACAGTCACAAACTCACAATTATGCAAGAAGCTGCACACTCCATAGCATAGGACTAGAAGGGAGTATGAAAAAACTCCCTTTTCCTGAATTAATTTACTTTGTTGATAACAAAAGAAATATGAAGAAAATAATGAGAAAATGAAAATTAACCTGAAGAAGTGTCACTTTATCCAACTTGGGCAGAATTCCTAGAGTTACATCAGGACCTCCAGCACTGTCTTCTACATAGTTCAAGTCTGTCCATATTCATTCAGATTTCAGCAACTTTCATTAATCATGACGACCCATGCACTGCTAAATCAGAAGTTGACTGGAAAAAAAAAAGACACACCACCCTTGTTTTTACCCAGTTAAAAATTCAAGTAAAACAGACGTATACCAAGCAGAGGGGTGCTATTAAGGTATCCAGCACTACAGGAAGTTACAAGATCACGCATAGGTATCCCAGCATCTGCAAGAGCCAAAGTAGCAGCATTTATACAAGCCGATCTAGTTCCTGCAAACGGCATGTCAAGAACAAAATTTACTTAAAATTACAGAGACCTGTTTTAATAAAGTCAACAATTAACAGTAGATAGATTATCAAAAGAGCACAAGAGAAAATAAAATGACGATCAGACAAGATGATGATTGGAATATCCCATTATCAGATTTTAAATTACCTCCATCTGCTTGGAGAACTTGTACATAAATATCTATCTGTAAATTAAATAACTAAATCATTAGAAAAAGAAAATACACAATTTACACTGATAAAAAAAGAAGTTCCAAAGACTGTGTAATAAAACCTGAGAACGAGGCATTAAATGTGTCAATATGCATGCTTCCATGGTTTGTCGAATAACCAGAGAAATTTCAGTTGATCTCCTGTAGCACGAGAAAACTTACATCAAATAAAGTAGTAAAAAACAGGAGCTCATCTCATTATCCTAGTGTTAGAGAACACTGCGAAAGAACCAATTAAACACACTAATGAGCATAGAGATGGCTAAGCCATTCAAAATCAAATGCAAAGTGTGGTCCAAGATGATTCATAAAAGTTATGGCACCAAGAAAAAGATTAGAAAAGAAAAAAGGAGGGCAATAATGGTGCTTGCAGATTTTACTTTTCAATGCTCAAAGATACATAGCTCATTGCTGAGCATAGAGCAGACATAAAACTTTTGACATGACAAAAGCTTTCTACAAGTCAACATGATGTATGTAATTATGTATTACATTCACTTAGCTTCGCAATCAAAACAGTCACTTAGTTTCCCCTAGAATTATGGAAAATCATCCAGAAAAATAGAAACATAGTACAGCCAGAATTCAACATCTATTTCAGACACCTCTTTCGTTGTTTAATTCCTACTTCTGTATAAAGATGAAAAAGTCTTATTCACAGTTACAAGTTATTCCTGAGAGTGATTCCATGATTGCCCCGTTCACTCTCAACCAATTCAGTCCATCAATACTATTTGAACAAGTATAAATCTATCAAAAACATGCAAAAAGACTAGGAAGTTAAAACAAGTAAATAAGAAAAACCTGTCCCCCTTTGGTTTCCTAATGCGATCTCCAGTGCTAAAATTAGCCATGCTGTACTCACACCGAACCTACAGAAATCCAAAGCAGATATACAGCAATTAAATCTTCAAGAGTAAAATACACTAAAAATACACCCAATGCATTATAACTGAAAAGAAAAAAGCTTTACCAGAGCCTGGTCACTCATTTGTTGGCTCCTATTTTGTACCTGAAAAGCATAGAAGTTATTAAAGAACATAAGCAACACCATCTAAAGCTCAAATGCAGCTTCAAAGCTTTTCTAAATATTTAAGCTGATAAAACCCCCCCATATAAAGACATTTCCCTCTTTTCAAAGTACATGGAGAATTATAAACAGTACCTCTCTAGGGCCATAAACAGCAGCAATCACTTTGGTATAACCCATCTCAAAAACGGCAGAACTGTTTTCAAAATGAAAGAGAAATTTATGGTCAAATGCTTCGAAAGAAATCACAAATTACATTTTTTTTTTTAAAAAGAGCCCAAAAGCTAAAACTCAAGTACCCATCCGCTTTGGATACAGCACCAATCTCTGCTCGAATTTGTCGCATCTAGGATTGCACAAAGTGGGGAGAAGATGGTAAGTGTAACAACGCTCGGAAAGAGAAAGAAACACAAAATCAAGTATGAATTTTTTTAAAATAAATTAAAATTAAATGGAGAAAAAAATAAGAGAATTACCTCCATGGGTCGGCGACCATCCGAGCGAAGTCCTTCTGGGCTGACGTACTCCATCTTCGAGCGGAGAATGAGAAAAAAAAAAACCCAGAAAGGTGGTGTTGTTCACAGCAATAGTTTTCTCTTCTCTTTTCCCTCCTCCGCTCCCATTTACCTTACCTCCCAAGCTAATGGGCTTTTATCTTACAATGGGCTAAATCAATTTTGTGTCAGATAGGATTAGGCCCATTATCTTTTGTGTGTTTCAAGAACCAATTTGGGCCAATTCACAGATTCATCCCAGACCAATTGCAAGAACTACTGTTGACGCGCGATCAGGGATGGTTCTTCTCTCCAACAGGTGTGTTTGGTACATGACATCTTGAAATATTGCTACACATTTGAAAGTGGGTAAGTAGTATGTTCATGTTTAGTAGAGGTTATTTAAAAATTTGTCTAACTGATCCATTTGCCTAACAACTGAATTTTGTATGCAAAATCTGACCAAAAATATGGTGCTCAAATCCTACTTGGAGTGTGGTATTTAAGTGATAACTAGCTAAGTGAAAAAGGTGAGTATGAGAGATGTCAAAACTACCCTTTGATGACTTCAACATTAATTCTCATTGGGGTTATTTTGTAATTTTATTCTGGTTTTTCTTTAATATTTTATCTTCAATCAAGCATAGATTCAATAATTTCTAATTTTTCTAGAATATTTTGCCTAACCAAACAACTTTTTTTTAACTTTCTTATCTAACTTATTTTTCTTGCAGATCCCTAGTAATCACATTTTCCCAGTAAAAAAAAAAATCACCTGTACCAAACGCCCGGTGTGTTTGGTATAGGTTTTATTTTTGGTTTGATGGGGAAGTGTGGGTGGGCATTGGTGTATACTACGTTTGGAACAAGCTATTGAAAAAAAATACTAGGCAACTTGGAAGGATAGGAAACCTGATTTGTGTTGATTTTTGGCACACTAACACTGTTCCAAAATACACCTTGAGACATGGTATTTTGGATATGGATGGGAAGTGAAAAATGGTGTTATGAAAAATGTCCCACAATAACACTGTTGCAAATATTTTTCCAATAAGATTTCGATCAACCAAACATATTTTCTTAAACTTTTCTATCATTTCTCTAGTAAAAAAAAAAATTCTCTTCTACCAAACGCCCCCTAGACTTCTTGTGGTTAATTTTTTTTTTACTTAAACCCTTTGTGTTTTAAAAAATGAATATTTAAAATAAATTTCTTCTCTTTTTTATTATATCTTCATGTAATGCATTTAGGGTTTAAAAAATATTTCAAATTATTTATTTTAAAAATAATTTATAAATTATCTTAATTTTCTATTTATTTTAAAAAATATTATTTAAGATAAATTAAATATGTATTATCAAAATAAGCTATTTCCTTTCTTTAGATAATTTTATAATGATATCGGATAAAAAAAAGATAAAATAAAATAATATTTAATTTGAATTTATGTGAATTTTTATTAAACCCAAAATGCATTAAGTGGGATATAAAATAAAAAAGAGAAAAATTTATTTTATATATATTTTTTTAAAAATTTTAGTTTTGTAATCACGAGATATTTAAGTGAAAATTTGAAATTATAAGGTTAAATAAAGCACAATAGATCTAAGTAATATATTTAAAGAGTTCGCTTTTTTGCATAAGTTATCTGCAGCCCACTATGACGTCGTTTTGGGGCGAAAATGATGGTGTTTTTGTAATTTTAATTTATTTCACAGTTATTATAGTCTTTATAATTATAATTTTCTAATCTTTCAATTCCAAAACGACGTCGTTTTAAAAGTAAAAGCAGATAACTTAACTGCATTAAATGCAAAAATATTTTTCTGATATTTAAAATCATCAAAAATCAAATGAGAAATCACAAGGTGAAAATAAATTTTTTCTTTATTTTTTATATCAACCCTAATTAATTTTACTTTCCAATACTAAATGGAATGTAATAGTACAAATCAGCAAGCAAGAGAGTGAACAGCTGGTGACCGTGGTGGTTGTCGTTGCAAGGTGGCCGACCGTGGCAAATCTCGTCCCGCGAGGAATGAACGAACAAACACTGCAAGAAACGAACGCTACGGTGCTAATGCCGTTTGGAAGAAAGAGAGTTTGCAACCTGAGACGAAAGACGAGGAGCTAAGTGATTGAACTTGGTGAAGAAGGGAGCTGTTGCTTGCGCATACATGAACAGAGAATGAAGAATTGAATTAGGGCTTTTTCCCTTTCCGTCAAGACGCAACACTTTGAGGCGAGTCATCATCAGTCGTCACCTTCCAAATCTAAGAATCAGTACCTTCCTTCCCACTCAAAGGCCAAAACATCAATTTGTTGTCCCCACAAATAGGCTTCGAGGAGGGAACGACATTATTTTCGTTCCCATCCATCATTAAACTCATTTAAAAAGAGATTTGCATTTATAATTTAACATGACATAAAAAACTTTCTTACACATAATATTTTGTAGGGCTCACACTCTTTGAAACAAAAAAATAAAAAATTAAGGCACGCAAAACGAATCTCTATAACATTACACAATCACTTTTCCTACTACATAACTCTTATAAAATCCTTTAACAAAGAGAAAAATCGAGGGCCATGTTCTATTTTATTTCATTTATTGCCTTTAAGTAGTTTATTACAAGTCTTTTTTTTTTTTTTTTGAAGACTGATCCTAATTATCTTTTGAGGCGAATCAGAACTCTCGGTATCTCCACGGGTTCGACTCTTTGAGCCGCCTACGAGACTAATCCAAAGTTCGGTGCGAGTATAAGGATTACGGTTCTTATACCCCTCCTCATATGGTGTTGGTGGAATTACGGTACTTTTTTTTTTTCATTATTTCTAAAACTCTCAAATCTACTTTAGAAAGTTAAGGAAATAAATTCCTTATATATTTATAGTTTCCAAATCATGATTTTTTTAATAATTATGGATCAATGGCAGTTTTATTTTTATTTCAGTCATTATCCATATGGGATTACAAAAGTGATAATTTTGTTTAAGTTTAAATATATGTAACAATATTTAGCATAGATAACAATACAAGCTCAACACATAAACTTACGATAAGAAGCAAACTAAGGTTAATAAATTTCTTAAGATCCCTCTATGTTTGCCTCGAAGAGAAGATTCTAACCCTTCAAACTTGAAGAGGGATATTAAAATAGGCATGAAAACCTTTGAGATATCAAGAATCATGTTTTCAAAAATTAAGCTCAAACCTTTAGGATTCTAATTTCATATAATGATTTATGACATTTTTGACTTTAACAAGAAAAAAAATTGTGTTCATTTTTACTCGACCATAATTTTAAACTCAAAATCATGTTGCAACAAAATTTAACTATAATTTTTATCAATTATGATCTTTGTAAAAAAAAATAAATTTGCACAGTCTAAACTCTAAAAATTAAGATTTAAGGCGAACAGATTATAATCCAAACATGTTAAAGTCCATCGGTCATGTATTCATCTCACAATATCAATTTTCTCTTTCCCTTTTTACCGTTGCTATTTTTTTTTCTTTTTTAATTTTATCCTCTCATTTACACTAAGACCACTTAAAAAATGATGTCTTGGACCATAATAAATTCTCTCCGTTACCAGATCCTCCCTGGCCTAAACTAAATTAACTAATTTGCTTTCGCAACTCACTCGCAAATTGTATCGAATCACAACATGGAAGTAAGCTACACATGGAAAGTTTTTTTTTTTTTTTTAAAAAGGAGTAAAATGGAAAAAAAATTAAAGAAAAAAATAAATAAATGATTGCGTTGTAAGATATGGCTTGTGATGAAGTTAGAGTTGCAGAATGACTTGTATGAGGTTCCCGCCATGTCACCAAACAAAAAGCGGCGCGTGAATCTCTGCGCTGCTCATTTCCTGCCTCTTATTACTCCCACTCCATAATATTACTCTTCCACGTACTTCCCCCAACCTCTCTTTCCTTCTTTCTTTCTTTTGTTGTTGTTGTTGTTTTTCTCTCTCTTTGGCGCACACAAAACATCTCAACAATTTTGTCCTCTTCCTCCTCCTCCTCTCGTGACCAGAGACTACTCTGTATTCCATTCTCTTCTCTTATCCCTCAAGCAACTCTCTTTCTCTCTCTCTTTCTCTTCCTTTAGATCCAACCCCTTCCATTCTCACTTCCCTGCATTTTCATCCTCCTCAATTTCAAACCATTTTTGGATCACCTTTCCATTTTCCCACCCCTTTCGCCATCAATCCATCGTCATTCATATCCTGAAACCCCATTTCCCCAATCTCAACATTTTCGTGTTTAGATGAATTCACATGATTGATCTCATTCTTCAATCATTCATAACCCATTATCCGATTAAAGTTTTGATTTTTCCAATGAATTCTGCAAAGGGTCATTAACCAAAAACCAAAAACCAAAATTAAATTAATACACACAAAAAAAAAAAAAATCACCATGGAATCAGCACCCCAACCAAAACCAATATTACAGAAACCACCGGGTTACAGAGACCCCAACACCCAACCGGCGATGGCGAAACCCCTTCCGCCGCGAAAACCGGTCCTGCCACCTTCCTTCCGGCCGAAACCGAAGCGGCGGGGCTGTTGCCGGATATGCTGCTGCACCTGCTGCATTATCATCCTCGTCCTGATCTTCGCCTCCGTCATCGCCGCCGGCCTCATCTACGTCTTATACGACCCGTCCGTACCGGAGTTCCACCTGACGTCGTTCCGGGTTCCAAAGCTGAACATCACCGACAAGGGCGACGGTGCCTACCTGGACGCAGACACGGCGACGAGGGTGGAAGTTAAGAACCGCAACAGCAAGATTGTGTGGCAATTCGAGCAGACAAGCTTACAGATTTTGGCAGATAACGGTGACCTGAATCTGGGGTCCACCAAGGTTTCTGGTTTCACGGTGAAGGAGAAGGGAATGTCGCAGTGGAAGGGCGAGACAAGCGTGAGAGGGGAGGCTTTGGATGCGAAGCAAAAGAGGAAGCTTAAAAGTATGATTGAGAGCAAAGCGTTGATTCCAACTGTGGAAGTTCAAACCAGAACGGGTTTTAGCATGCAGGGTTGGAAATCAGGGACTCTTGGGATCTCTGTTGTCTGTGGTGATGTCACCATGAGACAAATTGAAAATGGTGACATGCCTAGATGCTCCGTCACTGTCCTCAAATGGTAACGCTTACCCTCTATCACTTCTAATTATTCCATTAGTTTAACGTTAATGGTCTAGATTCTAGAGTTTAGATTGGCGTAGGATTATGGATCACAACCTTTTCATGTGCTAATTGTTAATGTTAGTGTTTCTGCCGTGACATTACATGACCTAATTAGCTATGTATTCATGGCTTTCTGTCTAGTTATGTTCAAAACTTCAACGCAAAACAGGATTAATTAGAAATTGAGGTGAATCTGTTATTCTGACACTGCAATATAATTAAATTAATTATGCAAATAAAGAATCAAATTTAAATTAATGACCCACTAACTTTTCTCTTGCACTACGGTTATGACATATATTTTCAAATTTCATTTGTTTGTGATTGGCAATAGGGCACCCTGAATACGGCCATTGAATTTGCATAGAATGTTAACATTGGTCTTAGCTGAACTCATATATATGTTTATTTCTATTTCTTCAAGGGGGAGGGAGGATGACTATTTTAGCCACTAACAATTGACTTTTCTAATTGAAGCTGTTGCTTTGCTTTTGATTGACCACAGGATCAAAATACGGTGAGATGGGGATGGATTCTATATATAGCGGATTGCTATCCATCGCGCAATTCAGAGGTGAAGTTTTTGTGACCAGATTCTAAATTATTTTTATATACTTCTTTTTTCTCTTTAAAAAAGTTAAAGAAGAGTGCAATGTGTAAAAAAATAAAAAAAAAAGTATATAAATATTCTTTGCTTAGGAAAAGAAAAGGGTCTCGTCCACAGCAGTTCAACATGCTGATCGATTCTCCCAAATGTGTAGTTGGATGCACATAAGTTCATACATGATGTTGTATTTATCAAAGTATTTATATTTAATTTAGTTGTTGATAGGAACCCTCACTCAAACACTAGAGAAATTTTTCTGTTTCTTCCCTTCTCAATAAAAGAGTCACAATGTGGTGGGGGCACCTTGGATTGGTCAAGGAGCTCAGTTGTGTTTTTTGTTCCCCATTATTGATTATCTATGGGGTGATTAAAAAAATCAGTAATCCAATGAGGAATCAAATAGGTTGTGGTAGCTTTTTAAGGTGTAACGTATCATTCTCTTTGGTGAAATGTGGTAGAAAGAGAACTTAAGGGCCAAGGCTACCTTGTGAAAGAAACGGTTAGCGGTGAGCAAGAGAGGGATATTGGATCTGCTTGTTGTATGACATACCTTCTTGACAGATATGTTGTCTGTGATTGTTTTATTGTAAAGTAACAGTGCATTTTTTATCCCTTGCCATGGATCAAAAGCATTCTGCGAGCATATAATGTATGATAGGCACAATGCTATACATTGGAGTTTTAACATTTCAAATAACTTGAGATTAGCTTGACAGATATAATGTATGATTAAGACTTGGATGATTTATCTTTGATTAAATCAGGGACCCTTAAATGAGGTGTGGCGCCGAACTTGACCTCAGTATAATAAAACAAATCTTCCTAGTTCCTGTTTCGCTTCACCTTTAGGATGGAGCTTCGAAGCAAGGGTCTAAAAAAACACAATTTATAAAATTCTTAACCATTGAGTTGAAAAAACTCAATGTAAGCATGACTTCAATGTCAGTATTTCATTAGACCAGAATTGATTTTAATATAATGAAAGCTGTTTTGGACCGTCCGCATAGGTCTAAGTCAATTGAGGTGACCTTATGCCCATTTAAAATCCCAAAATTCTCAAAAATAAATAAATATTATCCCATCATATAAAATTTAACTTCACTATACACGCATCTCGTGCATGAGATGAAGAAGATGTTTGTCTCACACTTAGTACAGCTCACAAAGGCATAAATAGTTAGGGTTGTCTCTCACTTGTCACTAAAGAATCTTTTTCACCTATAAATTAATGACCTATTTGCTGCACCGTATAGTAAAAGGACTGATAATATAAGATTTGATAGTATAAAATTTGATTGTATAAGACCTAATTATATTTTAATATTATCCAGTATTTGGTACGACATTATATATGATAATGTATTGTATAAGACAATATTATCCAGTGTTTGGTAATGGACCATATAATACTAGATAGGATAAAAATAAATATTTTTGACAAAAATACCCTTTAATAAAGAATTTATATAATACTATATTAGGCTTTATACATTACACCAAATAGGCCCTAAGCAAGGTAGTCAAAATCGGGATTTTACCTAAAATCGGAAAGGAAATAAAAAATCGTAAATCGTAAAATCGTAATACAAATCGTAGATTTTACCTGCACTCTAAAATTAAATTTTTATATACATATGCTTATGTATAAAAAAAATTAAGAAAAATAGATTATCTGTCACCATCCTTATACATTTGCATACAATTGTCATACTTTAAGGGTTTAAGCTAATAAATCACTCAAGTTATTATCATCGAAGACATTCTGTTCCACGTGATCTTCAACTACATCATTCAAAATTGTCTTCATCTAAACTTTCATCATGAGATAAAGTTCCTTCATTTTCCACAATCCATTCATCTTCGGATGAAACATCAGCAATGTTATATTCAACAATTTTTCTAACTTGCTTAACATCATTCAAATAGTTAAAATCGGGATTTAAATCTTAAAATCGGGACTTAAGTAAATGTCTAAATCGGGATTTTATATTGGAAACGATTTTAAGTGAAATATAAATCGTTTTAGTAAAAATAAATTGTTAAAATCGAGATTTTAAGATTTAAATCCAGATTTTAACTACCATGGTCCTAAGAGTTTTAATTTTCTTATGCAATAAAAGAAAATTTTCTCATATTATAGACATATTTTGCGTGGGGCCCACATATGTTAAAAAAGAAAAAGAAAATACTGCATAAAAATTGAAGGGTCAGTACTTATAGGAGAAAGTAATTCTTCTACAACATAGAAAAATATTTTCTCATAGATTAAATATCTGCATTATTATTGAGGAGACACATTTTATACTCTCATTCTCCTAGCTATTACACTATAGGGGCATTTGGTACAAGTGAAATTTTTTTTGACCTGAAAAATGTAATTACCAGGGAAAGTGAGTTAGGTAAAAAATTTTAAAAAAAGTTATTTGGTTAGACAAAATATTACTGAAAAAATTGAGTGAAATATCCTGAATCTACGTTTGGTTGAAGATAAAATATTGATGAAAAACGATGGTGAAATTACAAAATAACTCTTTATAATATTTTAACGAGAGTAACTGTTGCCTAATAAAATTTAAATGGTTAGTCTATCGTTCCAATATATCCGTTGTCCCGTTTACAATATTTTGACTGCTTAATCACCCTTTAACCTATTAGATCCAGCTGTACTCTTTTTTTATTTTATCTTTAAAGTAATAATGAGCCAAAATCCAACCAAAAAGAGAAGCCAAGAAAGACAACAACTAACCACACTTAAAACTAAAACCATAAATAGGATCATGCCCAAACACTCACTGTGTCCGGAATTTACCTATGCTGAAGGATGAAGATTGCTACAAAATATTCAACTTAATGTGAGGGTCAAGTCTGAAGAACCATTTTTTTTCTCCATAATTTTTCTCAAATAAAAATATAAAACAACAAGTAGGTTCAAACCAGACAGGAGATAAGCATGCAAAACCATAATCAGTCGGCCTTTGAGTAGATCATATGTGAAACCCAGAAATGAAAAAAAGGAGCTTTTCCATGTATGTACAAAAGTGGATTTGTTGGGGGAGACTCACTTTGGCGATAGGTTACAAGAGGGTAGTTTTGACAGCTATCATGTCAATTTTTTTCATTTACTTGGTTATCGTGAAATACCATCTTGGAAATGGGATTTGAGCCCCGTTCATTTCGTCCAATTTTGCATACAATCTTCAAAGGCCGGACAAATCGATTAGTTAGGAAAATTTTTTGATATCATGTATCAAACATGGACAATACACAGTCCCAATCTCATATGCCTAGTTATATTTCAAGAAATCTTTTACCAAACACAATCTATTGGACTTCACCCAGAAAGAAGTCAGTGTGCCTTACAATTTTTCCTTGATTTTCTATCGTTGCCTCGTACCCACTCACGTTAATTCTCCTATCGAGTTTGGGTCTACACATTTATCTCATCAAATCACTATTATTGGAAAATATGTTTCTTATATTATAGAGATAATTTGTCTTATATAACAAGAAAAAATGAATGAGGCCCATTTGTTTTATTTCTCTTTTTTTCTTGATGAGTCTCATTCACATTTTTGTATTGCACGAGACAACACAAAAAAATATATAAAGCTTGCTTGTTTTTTTTATCTCTCTTTTTATTGATGGATTTCACCTACTTTTTTATATATTGTATAAGACAGTGAAAGAACTATACCCCCTACATTATTTTAATAAGTCAAAAGCTAAAGGTGTGTAGCTACAGATGGGAGGAATTATGAAAAACAAAGTGAGTAGATATCCTCAGATTTGACTGCTCATATGTTTATCATCCCTATTTTCCTCACCTTGATAGTTCATAGCTTATTGTTTGTTTTCGCCGACTGCGCACTTCCACCATTCCTGTAATAATTAACGGATATATCAACAATACCAGACCATAGAGAAAAAAAATTGTGAATGAATGTGTGGAAAAGAAATTTACATGCTTTGAGTTATAATACTAATAATAATAATGAAAGCATGTAACCCAAAAAATAATAATAATTAAAGCAGTTGTCAGTTGTCACATAGCGAATAAAGGATAAACTCGATACTCATTTATCTCAATTATTATAATTCATTTAACAAATTACTAATAATAATAATAATAATAATAAGCTTCTATTATTACCCTTTTACACCATTACGTTTTAAGGAGTAGTGATAATTTCTCAGCGGCACTTCATGCGAGCTCATAAATATAGTTTGAAATAAAAAAAAAACTAAATGACTCATGTGACGATTCATTAATGTTTACCTTAATAACAATAATATTGAAAATGGCTTGGGGTTGCGTCATATCATATATCAGCTTTTTTTTTTTATAACATATATTGGGATAGGATATTATTATCATCATATCTTAATCGTTGATTTCCGTCAATCAACGGTTATTATTTCTCCAAATCAAATTTATTAATTAATTATTAATGTAAAGAACCTTGGGATACACCACCCCAAAAGTTAGCTCAAAGGGTGAGAGTGCTCAAGGCCTTATAAAGGCCACATTAGTTGCCCACACAATCAATGTGAGACTATATATCTCAACACGTCCCCTCACGCAAGAGCCCTTTGGGCGAGAAGCGTTGAATTGCACAGGCCCAATTTTTGGTTTACCTTTTAGTGCTTTTTTATTTTAATTCCACTTGAAAGTGGGGGCCGTGAGAATCGAACTTGTGACCTTGTAGTCAACTCAAGCTCTGATACCATGTAAAGAACCTTGGGATACACCACCCCAAAAGTTAGCTCAAAGGGTGGGAGTGCTCAAGGCCTTATAAAGGCCACATTAGTTGCCCACACAATCAATGTGGGACTATATATCTCAACAATTAATTCACAATAAATGATAACCGTTGATTGTCAGAAATTGAGAGAATTTTAATTTTAAGGGTGAGAAGGATTTTTGACGATTTTGCAAAAATTCCCAATTCCCTTCTCCATTTTTCTAAACTCACAAACAAGAAAATGGATTAATAAAATCCTTCCCTCCTTTTCCTTTCCCTTCTAAAACTAACTCCCAATCAAAGTCTAAAAGTACACAAACTTAACCCTCTTTTTTTCACTCACAAGGAGAGTATAATAAAACTCTCATCTTTCTTCCCCTTCTCTTCTAAAAGTGACTCCTAAACAAACCTTAAGCTTTAATCCAACTACATAACGAGTTCTCGAGCGCAGTTATTACAGCTTAACTCTTTAGAAGTCACGACGAAATTTTTCAAATAATAATAAGTACACGATACGGGAATAAGGATAGATGAGAAAAATTAAGCATTTGATTCATATGAGCTTTTGTTTTAGAAACTCGATGTAAATGTAACTTGATGGATAATAAACTTCATGACATCCTTAAATGAAAATAAGAAAGATGGTGATTTATTATTTATTTTTTATCGTTCATCAAACGTTATTTATAAGGGCTTATGTTTTCTTCTGCAGCAGGAATTGAGATTTTTTTCCTGCACTCACAGCAACAGTGCCCATTTGTTTTTTTCTTTTTGTTTTTTTAATTATAAAGTGGGCTCCACATAGAAAATTGTCTCACTCACATGAGATAAGATATTTCCAGCAAAATAAGATAACTATTTCCCTATTTATAAAATTAATTTTGAAGTTAACTGAGTTTTGCAAATTTTGAAAAATTATTTTTAGGAGTGGACTAAGTTTTGTAAAAAAAAATTTACCTTATTTGTTTACGATAGTAATGAGGGGGTTAAGTTGCATTGTATTTTTCTTTTTTTCTTTTTTTCTTTTAGCCCAATAACTACTAATGGACTATTTACGTTTCACCTATGAGTTTAATATACTAAAAAAAAAAAAACAAACACTTATCGAAAAAAGTATAAATTCACTGTGCATAAATAGTCTCAAATAAAATAAACATAATCGCATGGGTTTACGTTGAAATGAACATAACAAGTAAAATTTTGTATGATAGCGACATATTATCTTCAATCATCTAAAACTAATCAAAGATTAAGACCCAGTATCTTATGATTCTTATCTATAGTAATTGACATGTCTAACTTAAAGAAAGCATGACGTATTACCAAGCATTGGTGATTCAGCTACTAATAATTGACTAAAATTTTTTCATGGGTTCTCTACATGGCGCACTACCTGACTCAATAATTGCAATTTCGTTCATACATTCAAATAAATCAATAGGTTATTGAGAAATCCTCAACTAGTTCAAAACTCATATCAACTTTGTTGTCTTCTCTCTTTACTATTTTAACAGGTTCATCAAAAAATTATATGTATAAGATAAGGGTTAGGCCGAATTCATGTGGGTTATAAAAAGTCAATTTACCATATGTATAGATATAATTGTTTGAATTAATCTTAATCCGTAAAAAATCTAAATCAAAAACGTATGAAATGAATGAGCTTATAACTCTTTTGACCTTGGTGATGTGATTATTAAACTGTATGACTGGAACAATTTCCAAGTCAAATGTATTGCCTAAATAGTGGATAACGACGCGGCTGGTTGGCAGACGTTTGAAGACATGACACCCTTGATGCCACGTCCAGTACAAATTCCGTCAGTGGACATGGACGTGATAGTGGAAGAGCCGCGTCCCTTGCAAAATGAGATCTACAAGGAAGTCTCTTACATGAAGAATTGCACAAGCGAGCAAAATTATTCTCAGCCAAGTCCTCTATGAGTTTTAAAGAACTATATTGATGCGATGGAAGAAGAGTATTGGGACTCAGACCCATTGAAGACTTGTCATTGAGATCCAACTCTATCTCTTGTCCCATAGATAAATCTAGAGCCCCGCAAAACTATTTAAAAAAATAAAAATAAATAAAGAACACAGAAATCAGTTCTTTGCAAGAAGAGAGATATTTAACTGAATTTGACTCAATGCTGAATGCCGTTTATCATTCAATTATAAGCTTTAAATCATATTGTTACAAGTAAACTAATCTACACGGATGTTTGTCTTAGCTTTCAATCAGCTTGGAAATATCATAATATTGCAATGATTTTCAAGGTCACACGATATTCAACCATGGTTCAGCTCCTAGAGAGAACTTGGCTGAGAATAATTTTGCTCGCTTCTGCAATTCTTCATTAAGAGACTTCCTTGTAGATCTCATTTTGCAGGGACGCGACTCTCACAGTATCACGTCCCATGCCCATTGACAGAATTTGTACTGGACGCGACATCAAGGGTGTCATGTCTTTAAACGTCTGCCAACCAGCCGCGTCGTTATGCACTATTTAGACAATATATTTGACCTGAAAATTGTTCCGATCATATATTTTAATAATCACATCACCAAAGTCAAAAGGCATATAACCCATAATCCCTTTTGGGTCTATCAACAGACTGAACAGAGCATACCATTTAATGTTTGTACTTTTGGTAAATGCTGGCAATCAGTCAATGACGCGTTGATTTGGTAAAAGGAAAAAAATGTTTATTCTTTTAAACGACACAATTTATATTCTTTCACTCTCATAAAGAGGTGGGACCCATACTTTTATTTTTTTTGTCAACTCTCTCCTCTTTTATTTATCTCTTTCTCTTTCTTAAAATGACACAACTTTACATCCTTTAAAATGACACACACTTTACCCTTGGTAAAATACCGATTGGCAAAAATTTGTATGGGTTTAATGTTTGTACTTTTATTGCAAGAAAAATTCTTCTGTATTACTTACTTACATAAAAATAAAGTGATTTTTGATAAACTTTTTTATCTTTTTTATTATGAGAACCGTTTATTTTTGTATGAGATATAAATATTTTTCCCACTTTGTATTGTAAACAATTTTTTTTTTAGTACAATATTGTAAACAAATTTAGATGAAGAAGAAGTACATTAAAGAAACCCCAAAATGAAAAAATAAAAAAATAAAAAAAATGTAATAATAATAGAAAAAAAGGGGAGAAGACTAATATTGGTCCAAGTTTTTGTAAAAATGAAAAGTGACTTGAAATTTTTTCCGAGACATTGACATTATTTTCTCTTTCCTTTCCTTTCCCTTCATTGCATAGTTATTTCTTCAAGTTGATTTTCTCTCCTTGTTTTGTTTCGTCGAAGAAAGTATTTCTTCTCTCTGCAACTCTTCCTTTACTTTGTAGATCGAAAGGAAATTTTATTGTGTTGTTCCGTTCCATGGCCTCCAAGCGGATCCTGAAGGAGCTCAAGGACCTCCAGAAAGACCCTCCAACCTCATGCAGTGCCGGTACAGTTTCCTTTACCAAATTCCTCTTCTTTTTGCCCTAAGCTTTCCCATGTTACTCGATCTATGAGTTTTGGAATTTATATGTACGTGGGTCGTTGTCATTTTTTCCTTATTCCATGGGTTTATCTGCATTTTGTAATTTGTGTTGCAAGTTTACACTATGTATATATGTGAGTTTAATAAATTTGCAATCTTTGAGGAAGTATAATGAGATATTTGTTCTCAGCTTCACATCGTAGGTCGTGACTTTAAAAGATTATCGTCAATATGGGATTTTGTTAGACGTTTCTGGTACTCAGAAACTTTTCATGGTTACGAGTGATAACCAGCGATTCATTAGTTTATTGTTTCTTAATTTTGTTAAAGTGATGAGTTACTGTCCTGAAATTTCAGTATTTTTTTTAAATTAAATGCTTTTTGTTGTTCTTTCTGCTAAAGTTAAAATCCTACATTTAGAGTTCAGACGCTATGACTATTAGAATCTCTCTATTGCCTTCTTTTAATTGAGATTTTGTTTATACTACGGATTTACAACAATTATCATGGATTATAGAAGCCAACTTAATTATCTCTGTCTGTGGTTTCCATTTAGATGCATGCCTTGGAAGATAACTCTTGCTTAAGATTATATTTGGCTCTGAACCGTTGGTTTATTGTGAGAACCAAACATGTAACCCGGATGGGTGTTACGATCACTTTAGGGGTTTCCTTCCCAGCGGTGGTATGGACCAAAGCTGGAGGCAGTCCCAGGTGCTATGTGAAAAGTGTTTTTTTTTTTGTTGTGGGGGGGGTTAGGTGACTGCAATGGCTCTCAATGTGGACAGGGTAACGGCTCATGAGGTGATTCTGTGATGCCTTTCTTGTGTGATATAATGGGGTATTTATAGGCTTCACTCAAGAGGAGAGTGGGAAGGTTAGTCAACTGTTATGTGGAAGAGTTAACGCAGTCCTCCTTGCTATGGCAAGGCACTTTGCAGTTGCTGCTGCGCTGACAGCCGCTGCTGTGTCGGAGGGGCATCAGGGGGGGAGTCCCCAGTTAGCCATTTTTCGGATGCCTGTGGGGAAAAAGGAAAGGTCCACGCCCCAATGTAGGACATTCTGATGTCTTACATTGGGGAACCTGTTGCATGGAGCAGGGGTTGCAGCATTGGTAGGGCTGAGGAGGTGGCAAGTGACTTTGACATTGGGCCTGTGTTGCTGGGTTGGCTAGTTGGGTCGACCAGAACAGGCTCATATTATCTTTCTAAATGTTTATTAACATATTTATCAAACAAGCAGATATAAGATTGTGAGTCAGTACATATTATTTGAAAATTTATTTAAAGTCCATTCTTCAGCTTGTTACACATCGTTGCATTATTTTCTGATGTTATATTTGTAATCTGATGTAAATTTGTTATTTTCTTGATTATATCACCTTCACAGGTCCTGTAGCAGAAGATATGTTTCATTGGCAAGCAACTATAATGGGTCCCCCTGATAGCCCTTATGCTGGGGGTGTTTTTCTAGCTAACATTCATTTTCCTCCTGATTATCCATTCAAGCCACCCAAGGTATTGCTTAGTCCTACTCAATGCAATTTTAATAATTCAACCTTTGTTATGCTTGTAGAATAGTGGACTTTCATCGTTTATATTGTTAAATTTTCATTTTTTCCTAAATTTCATATTGTTCCTACTATTTATTAATCCCATTTTTTGTGGATTTTTTAAAGATATTTTATTTTGCTTTTCAATCTTCCAATGTGCCCTTCTTTCACTCTACAGTTAATCTTGATTCTAAATTGAGTGCCTTGACTGAGATGTTTATGTTATTGGTAGATTAAATTCTGGTGATGATTGATGAATATGCGAAATCATAGTCGCGTGGCTTTGTTTGGAGTTCGACGAGTCCTTAGTCCTTACTAGTTATAGTTACTATGTTGAATATGTGGTGGACTACTCTAGTTTCTTTACGGTTGAGTTCTGTTTTCTGCTTAGAAGTTTACCATATGGGTATGATTGGTTGAGCTGAAAATAAATATTAATTTTTCCATTTGGGGAGCAGATCACCTGCAGTTTTCACTTGCTTGAAGTTTCTAACAGTTACCTGTAGAGATGGAGCTACCTCATTAAAATTGTATCTGATAGTGAGTAACTATGTTGCACCGACACCGACACCGACACGGGATACGACACAACACTCCGACACGTTAATTCTAAAAAATGTTAAATTTCGACACGTTAGGAAACGTTTTGATATTATATAATATTTTTAATTTATGTAGTGTATATTATATTTAATATTCAATAATGTAACAAAAAAATAAAGCTAAACTTATAATACCCATCAATTTTGCAAAGAAACATAACATATCCCAAATGTTTATATTAAACTCAATAAAATAGTAATCGTAATCCAACAAATCTAATAGTTGGAACTCAAAATGCAACGCAACATAACCTTTGGACCTTTTTTGAGTCTTTGCAACGAGTATTTGAGTGTCGGAAAGTGTCGGTGAGTATCGGAAGTGTCAGACACGACACGTCAGGGATTTTGAAGTGTCGGTGCTTCATAGGTGAGTAATATAAACTAGAAAAAAGATGAATTCTGCTACAATGAGCTGCAAAGGTGGAAAATTCGTGCGTTGAAGCCACTATTTGAAGAATACAACTTGGAGCACCATATGTTTTTTTGGGATTCCAATAGTGAGGGGACCAAATGGGTTGGAAATTGGAATAGTGAGTGATGTTAACTTCCAAGGCCAAATTGTTGGGGTTAAAGCAGCAACAGTTCTTGGGGAGTGAGATGTTGGAGGATATGACCAAGGAATTGGTGCTTCCTCAAGATCTATATGGTGGAAGAGCCATATTCTTGTTTGGTTGGAGAAGGATCCATTGACCACTGGTGGGATCCGGATCCTTTCTAGTTTCCCTGTACTTTAGAGAATAAACTTTAAGTAGTAACTGCTGGCGGGAAAATGAAGGGGGTTAATTCTTATGTATTCATGCTTTGTTACATGTTCTTGTATTTAATAGAAATCTTAATCATTGATTTTTCCATCAACAATCATAAACATACTTTATTCTTCCAAATTCACCACAAGTGGTGGTGGATGCAAATGACTTTACAGTGTCTGTTGCCATTGAGGAGCTGGTTTATTTTGCTTTAACTTTTACCCACAAATCATTTAAAAGATCAAAAGAACTTCTACCTATTATAAAGACAAAAAGAATGAAAGTGTTTTCATGTCCAGTGATCTAACTAATTTCACTGAGTTCTTTCTAATTGACATTTCAGATCTGAATCGTGTGCTCAGGAAAATGTGTTCTTAACTCTTTATCTTAATTCCAAGAAAACGAAGTTGAAGATAGCTTTTCAAATGACCAACTTTTGCATTACTAGATGTGGCTTCCAATTCACCTTAAGCACAATTTGTTCAAATTTTGCAACCTTTCTTTTTCTACCTATATACCTTTTTTTCTTGCAGGTAGCATTCAGGACTAAAGTTTTTCACCCGAACATCAACAGCAATGGAAGTATTTGTCTTGATATCTTAAAGGAGCAGTGGAGCCCTGCTTTGACACTATCTAAGGTTCTGACACTATTCTAAATTTTTTAACATATTTTTCATGGGCATAACTTGTGTTAGAAAGAAAATTTTGCAGTACAGCAATAATGATTATAAGCACGGTGAAATATTTTGGTAGACTTTGACTAGGTTCACATCTGGTACAGTATCAGGGCAAAGAAATATATGAATAACAAGTCTCTTGGTGAGCTGATGCTAAACATTAAGTTTGAGCATCATGTAGGACAAGTTTACCTACTTATGATCTGTATGATGATGATGTTATCTGCCATAATCCAGAATACTGATGGATAAGTATGCTAGGAAATATCTTGAGTCTATTTAGTACACTGTAATCTATTACAAATCCTATTATTATTATTTGGTTTTAGGAAGACTGTTTCCTTTTGTCTTTTATAGTATGAGTTAGAACCTCGAGATAGCTGTCAGTTTCCTTCTAAGGTTTCTTTTCCATTTTGACTTCAATGTTGAAGTGAAACCAAATTTTAAGAGGTATTTGCAGATGTGAATGTGGTACCCATTAGACTGCATGCAATTGTTGTACCTTGGTAATCCTGAAGTTGTAGCTATTAATATTAAATTTTACAAGGAACGTTTCCCACTTAATTTGTTGTCATTATTTTATTGGAGGGCTATCACTGCAATGCATGGTTACTGTTTTGTCTTCTGAGTTATTACAGTTTTTTAAGTGGGTGGGAAGGGTTTCTGTTTCCTTTTTCAGGTGCTGCTCTCCATTTGTTCCCTATTGACGGATCCAAACCCAGACGATCCTTTGGTGCCTGAAATCGCTCATATGTATAAGACAGATAGGTCCAAGTACGAGACGACTGCTCGGAGTTGGACTCAGAAGTATGCTATGGGCTAGCATGTTGCAAAAGCCTTCTATTTGTTAAAAGAGTCATAATGTATAATCTATCTTTTCATTCCTGCCATTTACATATTGAGGATAGGTCTCATATCTGTAGCTGATGTTCTTCAATATTCCACCAGACCATCAACCATACATTTTTGCTATCACCCGTTTTCTTTGTACATGTTGCTTTGTGTTGAATCGTTGATTACTTTTGCTTCCGCCACGCCAACCATTTACTAGCTGAGATGACACAAGAAAAACTTGTATTTTGAACAAAAAGAGTTGGGAGGTTCTGAAATGAATAAATATGCCATGACTTCTGAGAAACCTGGTGCCAAAATCGAGGAAGATGTTTTCTTAGATATTGTTTTTAAGAAAGAGTATGGATCAATCGGATTGCATCACGTGACTCAATCTTGTGAAATTAAGCACAAAAATCTATATAGAAATTGTGTTTAAACGAGAAATTAATTTGAAGAATCCAATTTAAATTTGAAGATTGAAGTGTCAGATTGTATGCGATTGTTTGATCTTCAGATTTAGCTTGAATAATTTTTTTTTTTATTCTTCTAAAAAATAGTGTGAACAAACCAATTTCTGACACATGATTCACATTTTATTTTCCTAAATCTTCAAAGATTCTGATGTTAGAAAAATCATAGCAACCTGAGTTTTACTTTTAGTGAAAAAAGTTTGGAAATCAATTCTTCAATGATTTTTGGAAAAAGTTCCCAAAATAATTTTTCTGTTATTCACGAGAACAAAATATAAATGAAGTTATTTTTTATCTGTGTTAAAATAGATTTGGACGTAAAAAATAATAGAAACGTTGAGTGATAAAAAAATAGGAAATAAATGGTTGAAGAGTAAATTGTAAGGAATTTTTGAATTTTTATTTTAAAATTTACAATCTATTCTTTCTTAAAGAATGACAGATGTAATTATTAAATATCTTTTATTAAAATTAATTGTACATATCTTTATTATAATTTTAAATATTTTTAATTTATATCTTATATTTCTATATAAATTAAGGGGAAAATATTTCTCCAGTCATCGGAGATAAAGTTATCTCTAGTGAGCTCAAAACGACGTCGTTTTGGATTATAAAATTATAATGATAGAGACTAATATAATCCTGAATATATTAGAATTACAAAAATACCTTGATTTTCGTCCCAAAATAACATTGTTTTGGGTTCATCGGAGATAACTTATCTCCGTTGACTGGAGAAATCCTTTACCCATAAATTAATGAGGAAGGATATTGTAACAACCAACTAGCGGTACTACCAATCAATTTCACCGTTAGATGGATTATGTTGATCCAACGGTTATATTTATTTCTCTCTTTGTATGGTTATGATTCCCCATATTTAATATTTTATATTTATTTTCACCTTTTGTATGGTTATGATTTTTCATATTTAATGTGTACTAAATATGGAAAATCATAACCATACAAAGATGAAAATAAATATAACCGTTGAATCAATATAATCGATCTAACAATGAAATTGATCGGTAGTAATATTGGTAGTAACACTAATTGATTGTTACAATATCCTATCCTTAAATTAATTATACATACCTCTTTTACGAATTCGAATATCTTTTAAAACAATTTTCTTTTGATTTATATTTTAATACTTTACCTAAATTTAAAAATATCTATATAATCCATGATATACTTGCCAATAACATTACTAAGGATTTTTTTGGATAAAAAAGTTGACTTGTCAAAATCCAAGATATACTTGCCAATATCTAAATTTTAAAAGATTGGAAAAAAAAGGCAACAAACTGATTAAGATTACTCTCCCGTGCTATACTTAAAATTTAGTATTAGTCAAAATCCTCTTCGATATAATCATAAAACAAGAAAATAGATTCTGTTTTTTTTTAAAAAGATCATGTTATGATCCATAATCCGTGTTATAAAAGTGATTGTCTAGTACTTGAGTGAGGACTCTCTTCGTTCTTTCCCGTCCCGCGTTTCTCATTACTCGATCCATGGAAGCCAGTTTCACTGTGCAGAAATCTGTTGCTTGTAAGTTTCTCAAACCAGGGCTTCTGGATAAGGCACCGAAGGTGGTTCGAGTTTCAGTGATGGATCCCTATGCCACCGACGATGAAGCTCAAGATGAAGGAATGACACACCATCCTACAGAGAAGAAGGTTGTGAATGAGATCAGAATGGTGGAGCGCCAAACTTGTTTAACAGGTGTGTCTTCAAGAAAAACCACCGCCACGAAGCTTCGAGGAGTTCGTGATCGTGGGGGGAGATGGGGTGCAGAAATCAGAGATCCTGTGAAGCAGACGAGGATGTGGTTGGGTACCTATGACACCGCCGAAGAGGCTGCTATGGCTTATGACAGAGAGGCTATTCGTCTCAAAGGCTCAGATGCTATTACTAATTTCATCAAACCCCCTGAAAAGAAGAGCGTACTCATGATAAAAGAAGATTTGAACATGGATATAGACATGTACGATGATGTTACTTTCGACAATGTTAACAAAGAATCTGAAGATAGTAGTGTTATAACTACTGAATCTGAATCTGATGAGAATGTGAGTAGTAGTCATGACAGTTTTTCACCTAAAGAATCTCATATGAGTAGTTGTGGTAAAGACTTTCATGATAGTAGTATAGAATCTCCTAATTTGACTTCACCCTCTTCTGCATTTGAATTTATGGCGGATGCTGATGAGGTTTCTCAATCAGAGTCTGAGATCAGACAAGAGCATGGATGGGAATGTGAGATTAGAGAAGACAAAAGTTCGCAATACAGCTTTTTATTTTTAGATTCAAACTCCACGGATTGTTATTTCGATATTAATCAAACTCCTCCTTCGATGTTTTTTGATGAAATGAGTATGCCACAATTTATATATCACGATAAATCCAGTGATATTTCCCTTCCTCTTATTGAGGATTTTGAACCGTGCAATAATGATATAGATACTTATTTCAATTCAACTGAACTTAATTTAGGTAGCCGAGAAATGTAAAGATTTAGTTTCTTTCAATTTTTGTTATTAGTGCGGTAATAGTCTCAATTAATCTTGGATGTTGTGATTTGTGTTTTGGCCCTCTACTACATATGAATATTATATATTATTTATCTTTGTAAAATTTGATGTTCTTATATTTTAAACATCAAAGTTTAATGGGTTGTTGGCGGGATAACTTTTTTTAGGCCACTGACATACATTACGCAGGGATCAAAACTCAAGTTAATCGTGCATTAAGCTTAAAGTTCTGTTTTACATAATTTCATGTTCAATGGTTGGTCAATTAAGGAGTGGTGGAGCAACTGGGAGCTTAGGGAGGGCGATCCCCCCTAAGGATATTTATTTGATATATTATTTGTCCTTATTTTTTTTTCAGCTAATTACCCTTTTCTTTTACGCCTTGGTAGAATTTGTTCACTCGGTCATTGCACCTTTTAGTCATATCACATAACCACACATAGCGTATCTTGGTTAGCTATACTCGGTGGAGGTTTGTTAGCCTTTTAGCAAGAGAATGTAATTAGGCTTTTAGCATAGCTCTGTTAAAGGTCATCTGGCATTTCTAGTTGTAATAAAAAGGTTGAGTTATCAGCTTCGTTCTCGTTAAGGTGGTCTTTTTCTCAAAGTACACATTTCATGGATCTTTGTTTTCGTTAGAGAAGACCTGGTCTTGTTTATCATCAGGCACCCTTAGGCCATAACAAAAATCATATATATCTTTTGTTAAAGGTTGTATTTACAAAATTTTTGTTTACAAATTCTTGCAAACTAAACTATGTAAATGTAAGTACACTAGGTTATATTATGTACTTCCGCGAGTATATAGTTTTATTTGCAAAAATTTAATTATATATATATATATATTTATATGAGGTAGTATCCTTTGACACCTCATCTTATAGCCATTAGATAAAAAAAAACTAATATATATATATATATAGAGGAAGATTATACTTACAACCTATTTTTATTCACAACATTTTACAACCATAATCATAACTGTTGATTTCTGCCCATCAACGGTTATCATTTATTGCGAATTAATAATTAATTAATAAATTTAATTTCAGAAATTAATAACCGTTGATTGACGAAAATCAACGGTTAAGATTATGGTTGTAAACAAAAATGAGTTGTAACCATAACTTTCCTCATATATATATATATATATATGGGCTTAACATTTCTGCAGCTGCCGTAGATAGTGTTATCTACAGCTGACACAAAAAAATGGGCCCCATGGCTGTAAAAAAAAAAAAACTCAGGATCCGGTGTCGTATCGTAAGATCCGGACGGTGATCCTTGCTTGCTGTAGTCATTTCGATTCCATTAGGAAAGAGGATTCAAAATATCACACATTGATCAATCAAAGAGATATTCAACAACTAAAAGAAAGATCGATTCTTTGTTGGGATCCTACCTTTCTTCAAACGGAACGAACAGAGATAGAATCAGAGCGATTCCAATCATTTTGCTTATATATATATATATATATATATATATATATATATATATATATATATATATATTTGGTGATATCGGTTATTATTAATGGGATCTCCGAACACATTCAGATTATTCTCTTATTACTGTTTGATTATAAATTTAAATATAGAATTTACTTTTGAAATCAAACCAAATCATCTCCTACATTTAAAGGTTTCAAACACAATGTATATATGATATAAGAGGTGGGTTATATTTTCTACCACTTTTTTCTTACTACCGTTACTACTACTTTTTCTTTCTTAGATTAAATTCAAATCAATGATTTAAAATAACTTAAAATTTAATTAAACTGAATAGATAAATTAATAGATCTCACGCCTTTATCTATCTGATAAATTTAATTTGAAGATCCTAACTACCTCTAGTATATTAATTCTCAAGTTTTTCTAAATTTTCTCAACGTGAATGTTTTTTTATTTTATTTTATCTTTGCGATAAGTTCAACCTTGTCTATGTTCATGCCTTCACGTTGTGTTACGTTTGAGAGGTCATTGGGTGTTTGTCGCCCAACACAAACTCACTCACTCACTCACAGAAGTATGTGTGTTGTGTTATTAATTTTTTTTTTTTTAAACTTGAGAATTTAATATACTTGAGACAGTTAGATCTTCAATTTAAATTTATCAGATAAATAAGATTGTAAGATCTTATTTAGTTTAATTAAATTTTAAATTATTTTAAATCGTTGATTTAAATTTAATTAACAAAGAAAAAGTGATAATAAAAGTAGTAAGAAAAAAGTGGCAGATAATATAACCGGCCTCATGATATAAACTTAAAAAAAAAATTATTTCACAATTTTTAATGGGAAAAATGTTTTTGCAGTTAATGGAAATAAGTTATCTGTATTTATTCTCAAAATGACGTCATTTTGATGAAATCTTAAAAAATTATAAATATAAAGACTATTATAATCCTGAAATAAATTAAAATTACCAAAATACCATGATTTCGGCCCAAAACGAAGTCGTATTGGGCTTACTGCAGATAACTTATCTGCAGTAACTGTAGAAAAACGAACCCATTTTTAATTGTCAAAACTGTATATAATAAAAGGGTTTGGTGTTTGTCATTTTAAATGACATAAGTTATGTCATTTTAGGAGAGAGAGATAGACACAAAAAATAGAAATAATGGGGGAGAGAAAGTGGGTGATTTTTTTAATTTAAATTTTAAATATAAAAATTATTTTGTGTCTATCTCTCTTTTAAAATGACATAACTTTATGTCATTTAAAATAACAAACACTTTTTCCATAATAAAACTCATTTGAAACTTTTTTTTTTTTAATATTTCATTCGATTCATCACTTCGCAACTAATGCGATTCAAGACCGATCACGGGAGTAAGACTTTAAACCCTTCTCAAAGATATTATCAAAAAAGATTAAACATATATTCTCATCACAACTACTCAATTCTCTAAATAACTAAACTATCATCATTTTATATTTGAAATTATCTTCTTTTTTTAAAAATATTTCAATCGATTCATTGCTTCGCAACTAATCCGATCGGGACGGGTCCAGGATTAAGGCTTTAAATCCCTCCCAAAGATGGTACTGAAGAGATTCGAAAACATGATCCTACCTCCACCTGTTTAGCTCTCATGTGCCAACTGAACTGTATTTGAAATTATCTCTAATTATAAGAACACGATATCAAATTTGATTTGAAAACATATATAATATGACGGAATAATCCACAACGGAATAATAGAATAGAATAAAAGGAAAGAGGATATTCTGAAACTGGTTGGGTCCAAGTCCAAGAGATTATGCGAATTGTTTGGCGCCCTCAATCAAACGCCACGAATCTCTCTCTCTCTCTCTCTAACAGAAGAAGTAGAAAAAACGAAAACCTAAACAATTGTTTGGGTGCTGATTCCGAAGGAAAGGTTTGTCCAATGTCAGAACGCACACTTTCCAATTCCGATACGCAATTGAGTATTGGAGAGAGGGCTTTGTCCGCTTCTGGTGCCGCTTTCCTTTCTGCTATCATCGTTAATCCTCTCGATGTCGCCAAGGTACCCCAACCTTTTCAAACCTTTATCATCAATTTTGTGATCAACCAACCATGTTTATGTTTATGTCTCTTTCAGACAAGATTGCAAGCACAGGCTGCTGGGGTTCCCTATCAAGGCATTTCTCAGATGTCATCTTTTCAAACTAAAACGGTAATGCTAAACTTGTATCCATTAACTAAATTCGGTTGTATGCTATTTTGCTTCTCTATTTTTGCTCCTATTTAATATTTTATACATTCCCTTTTGTATTCTACGGTTTTACAAATAAATTTATTTATTTATTTTCAGATGGTGCACGAGGTTACATGTCCTGGTATGAATGCAGTATCTGCCTCTGACTTACAATGTCCTTCAGGGTGTAATCGGTATAAAGGGACGTTAGATGTCCTCTACAAAGTTATACGTCAGGTTAGTTACTGGGGTGCGTCGTGTTTTACTCAAGTATAATCAAATAAGTTTTGATTCTCTCTTAACTGTTGCCAGATAACGTGTTCAGTATGTGAATGTTTCCATCTAGTGTATTCTTTTCTCATACAATAAAAATTTCCTCCGTGTCTTCGATTCAGACATGTTCTGTAGGGGGTCTTGTCCTTTCATGGCTAGGAGGTTCTATTGACCATATATTCTTAACTCTTGGTATTTCTTTATAATATTATACTTTTAGCTCTGCTCCACAAAAAGATAAAAGGATGTGCGTTACTGCAGTGGCCAGTGAGTAGTGTGAGAGTAACGTCTACTGATGCATTAGACATACTTCCGCATCAGGATGGACATTAGATGGCTATGTCTGTATATGAAGGAGAGTATCCTTTAAAGGTAGTTGTATGGAAACATAGTTAAGAAGTTTTGCCCCTTTATTATTTAGGCATATAGCTCTCTCAGACTCAGAGTGGACATGTGAGAAAATCAGGGTGGGAAATTGGGTACCTTGGTCAAAGTTGATTAGAAATTATGTTTCTAGGCTTGCCTGGTGAAAGCGAATGTGTGGTGCACGTATGTTAGATTCAATTGTAACTGATGACTTTTGTTTGGATTTAAGGCTTAAATGTTGTAAGTAGGACGGTAAGGAACTCCGAACCTGATAGGTATTAACTGTTGAAATAGATTTATAAAACTTGCATGAAGTTTCTGATAAAATAGTCTGTAAAACGTATGTTTCACACATGGTAAGTAGTAACTGTTCAAGCATCCGTTGTGTAGGTGTTTTTTGTACTTAGTTATGTGTTTTTTCCCATTCGGCACACAAACAACTTACTATAAGAGGGTTCACAGGTGTGAATTTATGCAGGAAGGGTTTACAAGGTTGTGGAGAGGCACAAATGCAAGTTTAGCATTGGCTGTGCCAACTGTAAGCTAAGTTTTCTGTTTTGTGCTTTATGGTTTGCTTTAGAGGCTGATACTGTTTATTTTGGTTCTTCCAAATGCATTTTGTTTATACATGTCACATATAGTTATATACTAATGGTCTTGTGTTTTTTGCTTTCAAATAGGTTGGAATCTATATGCCTTGTTATGATATCTTCCGCAACTTGATGGAAGAGTTTACAACTCAGAATGCTCCAAATTTAACACCTTATGTTCCATTAGTTGCAGGATCAGCTGCACGTTCATTGGCTTGCATTTCTTGTTATCCTATAGAACTTGCAAGGACACGCATGCAGGTAATAAATTTTGTATGCTAGAATGTGGATGCATTGCATGATTTCTTTATAACCTCTTCTCAAAAGAAACTTACGTGCTGTGTTTTTTTTTTGGGTTGAATTATTCATTTTTTTTTTCTTGTTTTCCATCATTCTCTAGGCATTTAGAGTAACCCAAAGTGCCAACCCTCCAGGGTTGTGGAAGACATTGCATGGAGTCATCAACCCCGTCAAGGGCACGAGTATTCTTCAAAGCTGTAAGTGTACTCTTCGCATCCTTCTTTGATTATCGTTCTCAGTTTTCCTTCTGAGTTAATACATGTTTAGTTATTGTTTTCTTTATAAACGACTAAATATACAGTTTCTGGTGCACTGTATGATGTATGTGTTCTTTTGGTTGCCTCATTTAGTAATTATTCTGATTACTTTTTTTAACAGTACATCGGTACCGTTTCTGGTGGACTGGCCTTGGAGCACAACTTTCACGTGATGTTCCATTTTCTGCAATTTGCTGGTCTACCATTGAGCCAGTAAGATCTTGTTACATTTAATCAATGTAATGAATAGCTTTTGATTTTTTATTTTTGTTTGGGGTATTTCTTTGTGCATATATTGACCTGGGAGATGCTTTACAGATAAGGAAAAGAATTCTTGGCCTAGTGGGCGACGGAGCAAGTGCAGCCACTGTCCTCGGGGCAAATTTTTCTGCTGGTTTTATTGCAGGAACTTTAGCATCTGCTGCCACATGTCCACTTGATGTGGCAAAAACTCGACGACAAATTGAGGTTGTTTCTCAAAACCTAGCTTTTAGTGGATAATTTTCTATGCACTCCAAGAGAAGACAACAACCTAGGTTGCTGACTAACATCACCTTAAAATGCAATGCAAGTTGCTGACTAAAATCAAACTTCATGCATCATTATACTGTTTTGTCCCTTAAAACTAGTGAGCTAAGCAATAGTTAAGTGAAGTGATTTTGATTTTTGTAATAAATTTTCTTTCGGGCTTTTTATATTATATTATATTGTGAGTATTTTTATTTATAATATAATTTCCTATTAAATTTTAATCACATAATTTTTTATTTTAATTATTAAATTTAAAATGTATATATAATTTGGCTCCTATCACAAATTTCTCCGCCACTAGTACAGATCAACTTGCAGAGCTACATAATTGACCATTGATATGGTTTTCCAGATAAACTTTAAAGCATGATAAGTAAACATTGTTCATTGCAGGAATATTTTCCCAATGTTTTGGCGTGATTCCCCCCATCAGTCATCACCATTTTTAATTTTCATTTGGGCATTGCTAAACTGTCATAGGTTTGTTTCATCATACAGATCAACTTGCAGAGTTGCATAATTTACTGTAGATATTGTTTTGGTGTGATTCTCTGCCATTCATTTGATGACTTCATTTTTTATAACATATGGTCTCCTTTGCATTTTCCCAGAAGAATCCTGAGAGGGCATTAAAGATGACAACAAGAACAACATTGCTCGAGATTTGGAGGTATGTGCATCTTTCTGAACTGATCATTGGTCTGATTTCATTTAATTTCCTTCTCTGTGGATCATGTTATTTCTTGAGCAGAATTAAGAGGGTCATTTAGGATATAGGCTTTGGACTGATCATGGGGTTCTGCACTTTTCTTGGGACAGGGATGGAGGATTTAGAGGGCTATTTACTGGTGTGGGTCCCCGTGTAGGTCGTGCTGGTCCATCGGTTGGGATAGTTGTCTCCTTTTACGAAGTTGTCAAGTATGCTTTACATCATAGACATCCAACTTCATCATCATAGAAGATACTTGCGTTCATCATCTAGCCCTGTTTGCGTTGCTTGAGGCTTCTGTTTCCATTTTAAAGTTAGCTTAATAGTGAATCACATCAAAGACACCAAATCTCAGCCCCAGAAAAATAATGTTCCTGACATCCCCTGACATTGCAAGAAGTCAGAGCTCAAGAAGCAACAGAACATTGGGCAGTGGGAACCTACTAATGAGTAAAATCAAATAATTGTCCTAGATTCCCGTAGCATTAAGTGTCTCGGTTTTTCATCATTACATTTGCAACATTATAAGGAATTTTAATAAGTGCCATTGTGGTATTGAGACAACGAGTTGGCCCTTGACAGCAAGGAGATAAGCTTCCACAGAGGAAATAGTTTTTTTTTTGTTTTCTTTTCTTTTGGTAGAAAGAATACGAATTCACACAATTCTTGTGATGTATCCGCTTTGTCACAAGCATATGTATTCTACGAATTGTCATAAACCCAATTCATTAATGTATACAAGTTAAGATTTGTTTGTGAATATTATGGAAGATCTCATTTTTAAGAATGAAATACAGGATTATTATTTTTGGAGTTCAAGCATTAAGATTTAAGAATTCTCACAGTTCTGTAATGAATCAATGGAGGGTCATTATCAATATGGTTAATCAGATATTCTAGTTTAGTATCACAAAAAATGGTGATACACTCTTGAAAGCACTAGCATCTTTTTATTTATTTATTTATCTTTGACTAAGGTGTTTCTACATGCATTACTCTAAGCAGGAATGTGCTCCTGAGTTGAAGTCTGGCTTATGTGATTTTTACCTAATTAAAAAAATAAAGGAAAAAGGAAAGATGAAGTAATGGAAACGGGGAAAATATAGGATTTTTCCGTGTAATTTTGGGGTGTGAATTTTACGGGACGACACGACAAGTGGACAACCCATAATAAGAAGTTAGTAAGCAGGAAATAGTGTAAACTTTTCAATGGGTTTAACAGTGATTCTTAACCACCGATAAGAGTAATGAATTACGATTGAGTTTTCATAATAATAATAATAATAATAGTCGAACAGAACACATAACCTCAGCCAGTCAGCCCCTACTATGGTCAATTTCTACAAGAAAGTAGCACAGATAATTTAGAACTGATGGGAAGACGCATCAAGAGGGTGGATGAGGTACGTGAGCACCAACGCCACAAGCATTAGCACGTATGCAATCCCTTGGTCTATTGAAGTACCTGATGAATAGCCAAGACAAATAAAAACATTAAAAGCAAAATGAAACAAAGGGCACATTTTGTTACTGTCATGTCATTTAACTTTATCCACTAACAAAAGAAAAAGAAAAAGAAAAACTACATGGACAAACCAGTGTTACTCTTTGTTGCCTTTTCATTACGACAATTATGGTTAAAAAGTAGAAGTGAATTATTTCTGAGACCTTCTCGAGATCTAAATTCTCCTTAACTGAATGAGTTTCCGAGATCTACCACTACTTGTCAAGATCAAATTCAAATTTAGCACTGAAATGAAGGGAAGAGATGGGACAAAATTCAAAACCGAGTGCAGCATTAAGTTCTTGATTCTTTCACAGACATAAATGTTCAATGGACACTTAAAGGAGGTGAAAAAAAAAAGCTTCAATTTTTCTCAAGCTACAAATGTGAGGAAAGAATGAGAGAGTTACCATCACTGGAGGGACCAGGAGCAGGTGCAAGGGAAAGGGATTGGGCTTCAAGAACAGCAGGTGAAAAGATGGCAAAGACAAGAATATAGATCGATAAAAGTCCAAAAGAAGCTTTGAGAAATGCCATTTATTCACCGTCTCACGAGGAGAGACGGACCGTCGCACTGTAGAAACACCAGAACCTAAAACCAAACAGGTATTACAATATGTTAGTCTGTTTAGAATGCACTGAAAAGGAGCTCCTTTCCCTTTATATAGAAAGTCAAGTCCAGAGTGAGTGAGAAAGGCGGTAAATATCATCACATCATTGATATTGAGATTGAGATTCAGTGTCTCTCTTCCTTCTCTTTCCCTGTAAGGTGAGGGGACCACCTACCTACTGCTATAACACATCTTTTGTCGTGTTATTTTGAATTGGCGCTAACAAGGCCATGTGGCAGTTGTTTCTTACGTTTTTCTCTTTTCGTTTTGTTTGCTGTCACATTTTACTGCCTATATTGATGTAATCTTCTATTTGTTTGCTTTGAAAAACAAAATTATAATAAAGCTTGAGTAAGTCACTTTGGATTCTATTAATTCTTTTGCTTAGACATTTTGTTCTTTTTCAAACAACGTTCGGGCAACGTTGAGCCATTTTTCAACCAGGCAAACGTTATGATGCCACATTTTTCTTCTACTGTGGTAATAAAATAATTTTTTTGTAGCATTAATATAAATTTATTTGCGGATCTAGTGGAATTGAGCAATAACTAATATCCCTGTGTCTTCATTGTTTATGCTCTGATAAACTCTCAAAAGGTTGTGAATTTGAAACCAAAAAATAGAATAAAATCGGATATCTCTTGGAATTTTTGTGGTTAAAACAAAGAAATCAATTGCTTTGGTTCTATCTTACGATTGTCCACCTATTGAAATATTGAAAGGAAACTTTCTTCGGCTTCATCTGCATGTCAACCACATTTTATAGCGATACCCAAGATGCTGTATCGCTTACATGTTCTTCATCAGCGAAGAACCAAAACAGAAGGCTCTTGGGTTCCTATCTCTGGTTTATTGCAAATAAAAACATGTTTGGACATGGAGAGAGAACAAATCCAATGCCACATCTAAAGGTGACTTGAACGCGTGTCTAAGCCTGAAAAGAGAACATCCAATGTGCTCTCGAACCATGCGACTTCACATGAATGAATCACACCACCAAACGACGCATACAATACACTTTCAGTACAATTACGTTGATAACGGAGCTTCTTTCTATTTTCTATTCCTATACCAACATTTCCCGGTGATATATATGTCTTTGCAAGCCACAAGAACTCCTTTAGTCAAGCCACACAGGAGCAAATAGTATTGATTGTACTTAATCATAGAAATAGGTGCTTAATATAGACCCATTCTAACATTTGGTTTACACTAATTGTAATACACTTAGTTGTTACCACATGAAGTTTTTTCCTCGAAGGAAGTCCCTTTCACAAATAGACAAACACCACCAATCACGGTGTCCATAATTGAGGAACCCAAGGCTAATTTAACGGGACCGTATAACGTGAATCCCTGCATCACATGAATCACGTAAATCTGTGCACATCAATTTAAGTATTTTATGGTTCATCCTAAAGCAACAACAAAATCATCCAACAACTCATATCTAGATAATAAATCTAGATTCCATAATTTTCTACATTCCAGTGAGGCAGTGAGCAACTAACCATATACATTGTTAAAGACCAATAAATACAGTGAGACTCTGTACTCGATCTCGCTTGAACGGATGTGAAAATGATTAACAAACAATGCAAGCCAAAATTATCACACGGAAAACCATCTGGTAACCCAAATAAAATTCATTAGAAACCTTGCTGATCTTACACAAAATCCTTTCCTTTCCCTCCCTTGTAGTACCTCTGTACCTGCAATGACATGGTTCAGGCTTATCACCTTCCTATTAAGTATTCGGAAGAATGTTAGAAGGATGTGGAAATAAAAAACTTGGGATTAAGAATCTTAGAAGGATGTGGAAATAAAAAACTTAGGATTAAATTCTTATTCACCAACAGTGCATAAGTTTTACATCATCACTGAACTATGTGGTTCTACCTATTTAAGTTTGATTGTAATATATTTCTACGGTACAAACTCCAAACAGATGGTTACCGAGTATGGATAGAATAGAGGCTATTAAACCGGAACGTGCATTTTCATATATATATATATATATATATAATTCCACATCCTACAGCAGTAGGGTAAAGAAAAGATGGAGGGGAGACAGGGAAGAGCAGATTACTCAAAATATATTCAGAGTTTTTTAATTTTTATTTTTTTAAAAATTAAGACAGACTGAAAGGCAGCATACCTGAATACTCAGACATCAAGCATTCAGGTCACAGGAAAAAGACATTCCAAGGAGAAAAGGAAACCAAAAGTTAGTGCCTGTAACCTGACTGATTGAACCTAAAAGCTGAACATGTGGTAACCACATTCAACTTTCATATTTCACCTTTTCCTATTGATATTTTATTTATCTTGCTAGAGAAAGAAAATAAAATAAAATCTAAAAAACTTGAAGAAAACCTAAAATTATGTCCTAATCATAGCTTACTTGGTTTCTTCACACTACTGATTTTGGATCCAGTGATCCAGTAGCACTGCCTTCTCCTGATAGCATATTGTTTGGATCCTACGTAAGAAATAAAAATAAAAATTAGCAGTATACCATATGAACTTAAAATGGGAAGTTGGGTAGTAGAGCATCTACCTCCATTCCCCACTTGATATAATCTGGAGACTCACAGGCCTTATATTCATCAACCAAACTCTCAATTATGTCCCTTGATTCATCAAACTCTGAGAGGTCATTATCCTGTCCATTTTTTATTGATGTCATCAGATGAAATGACAAGTATCTAAGTACTACATGAAGATGCTACAGGGAAAAGAAGTATTTAACAGATGCAACGGCAGCCTCACAAGATTGATATCAGATTGTGCACATGAAAGTGGCATACTTACAGCAAACATTGGGAACTTCCGGTAGTTGTCTAAAAAGGCTTGTTTCTTTCTTAACTTCTCATACTGGCCCAAACATTTACTGAAAAGGTGACGTATGCTAGTATGGCTTGCTAGCATAAGGCCACTGACCTACCAAATGCAGCACATATAGGTCATTTAGTCAATCAATTTTTTTATTATCCAACCTCAGAATAACAATCATTTTTAAAAAGATATGTTCATCTATCTCTACAATCAGATAAACTAAGCATAAAAGGAAAGACTGAAAGAAAACGGATATAGAGTCCTACCCTATGCGCAGTTTGAACATATGGTGACTTTCTGGATAGAGCAACCTGCCATTAGTGCAGGAAAGGCGATCAGATTATGTCACAAAACTAAAGAGAAAGGAGACAAATTTACGCTGCTGCTACAACTTTCTCTGGCACGGATCACAAACCTGAATACTTGCAGGACCCCATTCAATAAAGTTAACTAGCTTTCTTTCACGTATCCTCTGCAAACTTTCATGAACCTAAATCCATAGAGAAAGATAAAATCATGATATACTATAGCACTGCTAAGATATTTACATCCTACAAAGTATAAACATGATATTTAACTACACAAGTCAATCTGAGCAAGCTACAACTAGATGAAAACTTAATAAAAACAGCAGTACCAAACTAGAAAAGCACTGACATCGGAGAAAGAATAATGTAAAGCTTTTATTTAAAAAAAGGTACATTATTTAATCTTTCAAGGTCTTTGACTGAAGCATAAAATTGCTTTTATTAACAGCAGAAGCAAAAGATCTGATGTTGTAAAGAAGCAGGAAATTCGTGCTTCACCTACAAAGCAATAGTAGAAACAGAAGAAAAAAAAAATTATGAACATAATTGTCTCTTCATAATAACGCTCTTACAGAATTAATTACTAAGAAAGTGTCTCTTGAAAAAGCACAACTTTCACCGCAAGGCCAAACAGGCACTTAGCAAATGGCTGGTACGGTTATTTATTTTTTTGTAACTTAGGGCTCGTTTGGTGCACAGGATAGGATAAAGACGAATAGGATAAGTGGGTTGGATAATGGTAGGATATGATATGAGTCTGATAAGCTCACATCTTATCCTGTGTTTGATGTGCACCAGATAAAAAGCCTGATAAGATAACAGTATCCTATCATGTGTTTGGTGTGAATGATAGATTTTTATATAATAATTTTTATTTGATTTTAAAACTTGTTTTTTAATTTATTTATACATTAATTCCTATTTTAATTTATTTAAGAAAAAGAAATAAGCATGCTTGTTACTTTGTTAGCTATTTGATCGAATAGGTCATGGGCCTCATCAATAAACCCACACGATGCATACAACCCGAGAAGCTTGGAGGTGATGCCAACATTTCTATGCAAAAGGGTTCTTGGGATGAGACGGTGAACTCAGATACCGTAATAAAAGGCTTGCAAATGGTAGCACGTTTCTAACAAAGACCCTCGTTTCTAACTCCACCTTGATCCAAAACCCTCGTTTTCCGTCATCACCTATAAGCTCTCTCTCTTGCCCTTGGTCGCCGGAGTGGACTTGGGTCATGGTCAAGGTAGGGTTGGCCAGACTGCCAGTGGCAAAGTTATCGATGATACACTGGTAAAGTGAGAGAGGGGGAAAGGGAGAAAAGGATGGAGAGGGTTAGGATGGAATAAAATAAATTTATTTTTTCAATCCTATCCTCTTGGATTGTAACCCAAGGGTTCCCTTAGGATAAGTTATCAGGCTCTCAATAGGATAAAATGAGCCAACCTGATAACTTTATCCTATCCTATGGGCTCACCAAACAGTTGATTAAAAGAGGATGTGATAAACTATCATATCCTATCTTTCTTATTAGGTGCTCCAAACAGGCCCTTAGTTTCAATTTACAAACAGAAAATTCTAAAGTATTATTAATACTGCATGATTATTGTCATTACCTGAGTTGGATCAACCTCTCCTTGGATGATATTCAGAATTGATATATATTTTGCTTGGCTAGCATCTTTGGTCCGAGCATAAGAAGAGACCATAATATTCTTTGCCTGCCAGGAATATTAATGTCAGTAGAGCACATAGCCATTTAATTTGAAGTTCAACTTTTAAGCCTTCATTATACCTGCAGAAGTCTTCTCATAACATCAAGTACAGTGGTCTTACGAATAACATTAGCCTGCAAGGAATACCATCAAACTTTTAAATGTTCCCCGGAAGTGTAATAGGAAAAATCATATTTTTTCGGCAGCATATGCATATCCCAATCAGATTATGGAAGGAGGGTAAAATGGGGTAAAGGAAGAGAGAGAGAGAGATGAACCAATAGTTTCTCTGCGGATCCCTTTCAGTTCAACAATTTAACAACAGAAATCTTCACAAGACACAAATTTAGGAAAAACTTTTATGCCCAAAATATCATTTTTTGGAAACAAAAAATGACAATGATCTCACCTGACGTTCCACTGTCAAAGGCGTATATCCTGTCATTAGAAAATGGCATCTTGGTGTTGGAATCAAAGAGGCAAGAAGACCAACCAAATCATTATTCATGTATCCTGGATATCGAAGAGTGGTTGTGCTAGCAGACATCACAGTAGAAACTAAGGAATTTGTTTGAGAAAATGTTGGATTTGATAAATGAAGTCGTTCCACAGCAATTCTATTTAGTGCAGTATTATCAAGAACTACAACACAATCTGCATTAAGTGTCAATCGCTTGAGTGTCAAAAGTGAATTGTATGGTTGGACTACCACATCACTTGTCTCCATTTGGTTAGGAAACACACTGTATGTCTGAACCAGTTTTTTGCTGTAGCGGTCATTCAGAGTCTCCAACAAGTAAGAGCCCATACCTGCACAAGAGTACGGAAAAACACGTAATACACGAGAGAATTTAAAATAAATAAATAATAAAAATACACGGGAGAAATACTTGGGAAATCTTTTAAGTTTTTCCATCTTGTATGCAGCAAGTTCAAAGGCTAAATAGGAATCCCAACCATCATGTATTACAAGCAAGTTTAGGACCAGATAAGCCAAAAGGTGCAATCCTATTCAATTTCTCACTCTTAAGAGTAAGATCAATTTGATTTTTGGTTGAAATTAAGACTACAATTACAATATGCATCAGGTGCTAATTTAGTCAATCATTTCAGCAATATTTTGCTTCTTCAGATGCACCCATTGAACAAATGGGTGCAATATTGGATGTTTTAAGGCAAAGACAAGAGGAAAAGAAACCTGAGCCTGTTCCTCCAGCAATTGAATGACATAGAACAAAACCCTCAAGACTGTCACTACCATCTGCTTCTCTGTCAATCATGTCCATTATGTCTTCTTCAACATTCTTTCCCTGACCAGATATTAACATCCACATTAGTTAAACAATTACTTCACATTCCAAAAGTATAAGTCACCACTTCTAAGACATTGCCCATCAAGATCTTTCCTTATGTTTTAAAAAAGTTGATAATGATTCCTATGGGGTGACTTATCAGGACTATCATTTGTAAACTCATTTGCAAGGCACAAATCAGGCCCAGTACAAAATTGCTAGAGAATTAGAAGGTTGCCAAGATACAGTCAGACCATCTGAGGCATTTCTAGTTCCAGAAAAAGAAGAAATATTATTCATGTACAAATGTTTTCCGCGTGACTTTTTCGTGATTACATGTGAAGCAATAATTTTTAACAATTATCTAGTGCCAGTTAATGCTCCAATAAATAACAGAGCCATCAACTGACATCCTTTACAACTGCATGTTACCCAGCATAACTGGACAACCATCAGTAGTCATAACAAAACTCATCACTGGTCTTATGCGGTGATTTGGCAACATTGACAACTGCGTCAACCCACAATCATCAAGAGTGTCTGTAAACACACACACACAGAGTTTATCTTTATGGATGTACCAAAAACCAAACAAAAGGAGCATTACTGCACAAAAGTACAAAAACTTCTCCATGTGATGACATGGCATTGAGATGGAAAAAGAAATCTCCGAAGTAACAAAACTTTTGTCAAAGGATGACATGCAAATCATCATAATTACAGGATGATCCAGTAACAAACCTGATGGTATCCACTGGCCCAATTGTTTCCTGCACCACCTCCATGATCAGAGACAAAGATGTTCTCATGATTATAGAGATTTCGGTAGTCGCTATTTTGAATTCCATTAATCACTCTTGGCTCCAAGTCAATCAGTAGCGCTCGTGGTATATAATGCTGATCATCAGCTTGATAGAAGAATACATCTTTCCTATCACCTCCCTGGAGCATTTTGACCAAAATAAGTAAATGCAGAACTAATCTTCACTCACTAATCACAAGTTAGATAATGATGCATAGTTGTTGCTTCTAATCATTCACCCACGCCCTCGCTCATCAAAATTCATAATTATATTAACTTCAAATAACAACGGAAACTGGAAACCTCGATTAGAAACAAGAATATTCAAGTACTTGTGGAAACAGTGAGACCTCATCTTCAAGAACTCAACGGTGACAATTCCAAGTTTCTCGTTGTAACGATAAGCTAAGAACGGGACAGACCTGAGTAGCGAAGTCTTCGAGGATGCCATCTTTGCTGATGCCATGCTCGAGACAGAGCTGCTTCCAGAACTCCATGCCGATCTGGTTGCCGCATTGCCCAACCTGAAGCGTGATGATTTCTCTCGGCATTTTTCCGTTTGCTTCTCGAGAAAACTAGGGTTTGGTGGCGGGGGGAGACACTTTTTCAAAAAACCATATATCAAATGGATGAGACGAGAGAGAAACTGAAAATGAGGGAAAAGTGAAAATGATGCTTTGCAATTTGCAATTTGCAATTGCCTTTGTTTTGTGAACACTTAATTAATGTAACACTCTCTCTGCCTCATTCCTCCTGCTAATCATTACCACTGTTTACTTTAACACAGTGTGTAGCGTCTTGATTTGTTGTTAGTTTTTCACTTTTCTATTATATTATATTTTTTGTATATCTCATTATTAACTAATTAAAAAATATTAAAAGACCTCTTATTATTTACTTAAAAAAATTAAATGCAAATAACTATTTTAAACTCGTTTTAATATATAGTCATAGTTCATTGTAAATACTCTTTATTATTATTATTATTATTATTTTTTTGAAAAATAAGAAAAGTTAAATTGACATAATATAGTTTTTCATGACAAAAGTTTGTAGAAAAACAAAACACAGAGTCATCGTGAGCAGCATGATAGTTAAAATTGGAATTTTACCAAAAATTAAAAAGAGGATAAAAAATCATAAATCGTAAAATCTTAACATAGAAAAAATCGTAAAAGAGTTTGAAATTTTAATGAAATCATTTTAATTGAAAAAAATAGTAAAATCGTAGATGTAAATGGAAATTTTAACATGAGTTCATGATAAGGGAAGACTATATTGTTTATTAAAAAAAAAAGGAAGACCATATTGTGTTGAGTTTGGGCTTCGCTTCGACCCAACCCATATTGCAATGATACTGGAAATTTTGCACACACCCAACGACTAGGTGGGTCGGGTGCAGTGTGCAGAGTACCATAACTAATTCAAAATGCAATAATAATTTGATCAATAAAGTGATGAGCCTAAACCCCTTTTTATATAGGGATTATTATTAATTTTTCTGCTAGACATAAAACAATGAGAGAGAAAACAATAATGGAGTCTATTTCTTTTTATGTCTCAGTGCTAGAAATTTTTTTCCTGAAATGATAATCCCTTCTATATAATTCTTCATAGTTCATATAGTGATAATTCACATTGGTATTTTACATTATAATCCATTCCTTTGCAAAGATTCTTCACGATGAAGTCTGTTTGAGTCACTAACGAAGCAATTGCCCATTTATTTTAAGCCAGAAGCAATTTCAGGGAGAATGTAAAAACTTTGGCCTTTTAAAAATTTGACAATTCCAATTGAGTGGCTGGGGTTAGGTAGTGACTAGTGAGTAACTACGTAAGATCACATATATATGACAAAACTAGGAAAGATGGTGTTACAGATATGATGATGTCTATTATGAATTTTGCTTACATCTGAAACAGATAATAATGGAACACCTTTTTTCCTCCATTTTCAATACATTGTGGAATGCAACATAATCAATCGGTTAATGCTTTCTCCGTCCATTTTCCAACCAAATAAAGTCATAAGTTGCACTTTTTTAAGTTCTGATTTATAGCTTTTAATTAATTTTGGCTTTGAATTAACATCATATGTTGGCAATTGGATTTCCTAACGTTACCAAATGCACCGGAAATTCCTCAGGTGATAGTGCATGCATTCGGTTGCTTTCGCAGTTAGTCGGTTAGATACCTTTCAAATCTCCGGAGAAGAGATCATAAGCTGTTAAAATCCCACGCCAGAAAAATTATTTAGTTTCTAGCATCCGTATAATTTAGAAATTAACGAGGATTGTTTTGAAGAAGAGAAAAAAGAAAACAAAATAGCAGCTCATGTTCTTCATCATTGGGTGCATAATTCCATATTGCCCATCAAAGTGCAAAGGGCTACATAAAGGTTTGCATATTGATCACTCTAGCTAATCTCTTCATGCATAATATAAATATTTATGGATATTCATCCCTATCAAAAAGATATCTCATAATAGATATTCACGATCTCACGATTGCAGCAACAACATATTCTTATCCGTTGATTCTATTATAGTTATTGGATTTTCACCATCAGACATCAATATATTCTAATTGAATTATTCACCCTGATCTACCCCCACTGTCTTGATTGAATCTACCTAAATAAACATCCCTTCAACACCATCATCAATTCAACCACCGTAACCAAAAAAAAAAAAAAAATCAAAAGTAGGATATTCGTATGATTCAAATATTCACACTGAACACATATCATATTATATTCACACCCAACAAAAAAAAAAATTTAAAAAAAATAGTGGAATAGGCAACATAAATAGCAAAGAAAATAGCTTCTTAATAGGTTCTCACAAATACATGAAACCATGAAATTGAAACACATGCCACCTATAATATTTGGCTAAACCACATAATTGCTTGAAAATTAAAAATCTGCCATAAAAACTGATATATATGAACTTAATAAGTAATCATTAGTACAATCTCTGGAAAGTTAATTGATTATTTGAATGAACGATGGACACATATGATGATGGATGATGACAAGAAGCAAAGGCCAATCAATCCTTAAGAAGAAGGAAGGATAGGTCATAGGTCATAGGTCATAGGGTCAGTGAGACCATAGGAAGGCACCGATGACAAACTTTCTCTTTTGTTGAAGATCTCCAATGATGGGTAAGCCGTATTGTTTGAGCAAACAATCAAGCCTCCATTCGGGCATTGTGTCATAGTCAGATTGGGTGTACCTTGGATAGTGAACTGGCATCTGAAACTGCCCACACCCCCCAATAGACCTTGCCACAGACTCCATTCCTTTCTTGCTATGCTTATTCTTATTCTTCTCTCTCTCTCTCTCTCTCTATGATCTCTTGGCCATTCCTTGTTTAATAGAGGAGTTGAGGAGAGAAATTGAGGCCGGGGAAAAATAAAGGCAAATATTGCGGCGAGAAGCCTGTCATCTTGATATTTTGACCCGAAATTTTCAATTTTTTTGTTATTTTTGTTATTTTATTTTTTGTGAAGATGCAATTCAACGTCTCTCATTTCGTAAGAGATAAATTTTATCTCTTACGCACATACGAAAATGTGTAGAATCTATTTTTTTTCTTTTTCTATTCTCTTCACAAGACCTCATATAGGCACCATACACTTTTATATGTGTAGGAGATGATTTTTTTATTGTCTTCGTATGGTCAAACATAGGCGCTACACACTTTTATACGGGCTCTTTGATTCATTTGAGATTTTTATTCCTTTAATTTCCAATTTGGTTTTTCATTACCGATATTTACCAATGGGGTCGTTTAGTGCCATGGAGGAGGAGGGGGGCAGCGACACTCACAAGTTTTTTTTTCTTTAGGTCAATATCGCGAACCTCCTCCGGTATTCACATGATTGTGCCAAGAGGCACAATTCCAATAGTCTTGTTACCATAAAAATTTCGGAAGACCGTGTCCGTAACTTTTGACTCGGGTATCCAAATCATATAGTTTTTTACTTCATAAAACTTTTCGATATCTACGCAATGAAACATCATTTGGCATACTTTATCTTCCATAAACATAATTCAAATTTGTAACAATAGTTCCACAATCACAAAAATGTTTACATCCAAATTTTGGTAGGTAAAAACTTTTGATTTGTTTAGCTTCTTCGATTTTCAAATCAGTTTTGTTGAGATTTTAATTAATTGAGTTTATGTATGTTAGAGTTGCAACATCACCTGTGAGAGACAATAATTAATTTCAAAATTTGTTTTTGCTGGCCATGCTTGATGACTCTGAAGCTATGTTTGTGGTACAATTGTTACAAATTCGAACTATATTTGTGAGAGGTAAAACATGCTAAATGAGATGTCATTGCGTAGATCTCAAAGAGTTATGTAAAATAAAATAAAAAAACATCTGATTTGGATACCTGAGTCAAAAGTTATGTCTTTCCAAAATTTTACGATAATGCGACTAACGTGATTATGCCACTTGGCACAATCGTGAGAGTGCCGAAAGCGGTCACAACACCCACTTAGAAGAAAAAAAAATGTGAGTGCCTTGCGAGCCCCAACACTAAATGGCCTCCATTGATAATATCGGAAATCAAATACTAAATTGGTATATTAAAAATTCAAAAAGAAACCATTGGTCAAAGAGCTATTTTATATGTGTAGCAATAAAATTATATTTTACAACATAAAAATTAATAAACCCAAATATTACTATTATCAATTTAGTTTCAAATTTTGTAGTATTTGAAAAAATAAATTAATAAATGACTTAAGAAAAATAGAGATACGGGATCTCTGTAATCATTTATCTTTATTTAATTCCATGATATTGAAGTGAGAATAATTTTAAAAATAAGAACGTCATAATAACAAGCGATATAACTAGTGCATATTTTATTTGTAAAATTAAATTGTTGTATTTGTTACATTTGGTTTTAAAAAGGGACACCAATAAAACATAACATTCGTAGGGGGAAAAATTAAAATATTATTATTTAAATAAAAATGTATAAAAATATAATATTTTGGAATCAATTTGTGGATCTATTGCACTCAGTCTTGCCCAAATAAGACGAGACAACTCCCGCCCAAATTAGGCGGGACCCCTACAAGAACTCGTCTAAATAAGACAATACCAATTTTGCCTAATTCAGACGAGACTCAGCACCATTCACGTGGTGACATGTGATGCAAAAAATCAATAATTTTGATCATAAAACTTCAGGAAAGCATAACTTTTGACTCGAGTGTTCAAATTAAATTTTTTTTTTTTTTTTAGATTTCATATAATTTTTCGATATTTACGCAATGACATCTCGTTGAAGGAGATTTAGTCATAAATTATTTCGGGTACGAGGATTCTAATTCTTTTATGGATAAATTAATGGGGATAATTTTTTTACTTATTATTTTAATATTTTGTCTCTCATTCCTTATCACCATTGATTTATTAATGAATTATAAGTTAAAATAATGTGTATTAAAATTTAAAACTAATAATAATGAAACTTTCTTTTGTTTCTTTTTTATTCCAATGCTGTTTATATATATCGATCATCGGTTAACGAACTCTGAGCTAGAAAAGAAAAGATCAAACTCATTCAAAACAAGAGAAATGAAAAATAATTAATAATCCATGAATTACTGGCTTAAAAAAAAGTATGTATTTTGTTGTGGAAAAAACGTAATTAGCTTATTTGAAATTTGACATCGATGAATTAATGAGAACCACGTTACAAAAACGTGATTGATT